GAATTCTTTTGCTGCTAAAGTTAGAAGCGACATTTAGTGAATACAAGCACTCTGGAGGTGCAGTTGTTGAGAGAGAAAAAAAGTTACTTTGTTTAATAGCCTCGAGGATTGTTGTAGCAAGGGGAGACCATCACTGTTTCCTTATTTTAAAAACAAACAAAAAAAAAAACAAAAAACCCTGGCAGATGTTGCATATGATGAGAGATGTGTTGGCTGTGTATTGCAGTCCTTCAGATTCAGGAGCTGCACTGAATCCCATCACTGAAATCTATTTTCTGTTTTCTGACAGCTGTTTTTGCCATTTACTTTAAAAGCAGATGGGGAAAATGCAAAGAAGAGCTGTCAATTTTATTACCATGTATAATCAGCATCTGTGCAATACATCAGACTCATTGCACAGCTTACACTTCTCTGTAGTAAAAATTCTTTCGGGATTTCTTGACAAGCTTCTTGCAGGCTTTTTGTAAACGAGGTAGATGCTGGAATTAAAAGTATAGATTCACTATAACTAACTACTAAAGCCACTATTGTATTGACCAAATTTAATTAATCAAGATGTTATGTTCTGATTGTTTAATTATAAAATATATGGCTAATTTGCTGCTTCATATTCAAATTTGTGTTTTCCTAAGGAAGATGTTTTATTGTTATGAAATACTAAGTTTTTAGATAAATCTCTGACCCCTTAACATGCATTTAGGTGCAGCACATCTCTGTGCAATATTTTTTACCTTTTTTTTTTATTGAGCAGGCTGAGTATATTGTACTCCATCTGCATGATTTAAAATAAAAATTATTCTGTAGAGAACAGGATGTGTTTCATTCCCAGTTGCCATCTTTCCTGGGGCAGAAGTCTTCCACAGAAATGACTTTTTATAGTGGGAAAATAAGCTAGTTTAAAAGTGTCAGTATAAATAAGCATGTTGTCTGTCTCTGTAAGTGCGGAAGTAGTAATCAGTAATAGTGTGCTGCAGGCTTATAGGAGAGAACAGCATCCTCCTGGAAAGTGTCAAGTGATTTACATGTCACAGGGCTCTCTGGGGACCGGTTGGGAAGAATCCGTCTACTGGCTGAGGGCCTACTTTGATTTGATTTGATTAGCTTGGAAGTCACAACTGCAGAAGCACCTTTGTTTCTTAGAATAGTAGGTGGTTGTACATTACAGTGCCTGTAGTGATAAGCAGAAGGGAAAGATTTTGAAAAAGAAATGTTCACAGTACATTTCCTAGATAGGAATGATTAGGGAATAGTCTTCAAAAAAGGTTTCAACCAATTTGGCAGTGTTAAAAGACAGTAAAACACTTATGTATTGATGTGGGACTTCTTTGAAGTGAAACACTAAAAGGAGCAGGAGACTTAGTACTAAGAGCATTAATTAGCATTTGTGTGGTGATGGGTAGAGTACTTCTTACACATGAGGCAGTTCAGGCTTTGATGGAGCATGTGCTTAACTGTCTTCCTCCATTATCTTATCTTATTAAATATGCTACTAAAATTGACAGTGGCTTTTGGAAAAGAAACCACCAATGCACTGTTTATGATACATAGATGTTAATTTATAAAAAAGAATGACTTCTGGGATGACTTTCAAAGGAGATGTTGTGCACAAAATTTAATACAAGTTCCGTGGAAAAATACTGATACTAGCTTTTTGTTCTTCTGTAATATAATGGTACTTCTGGCCATGTCATTTGCAAGCACTTAATAGCTCACTTTTTCAGTAATAGATAACTACATCCCATCCTATTCCAGAATTTAAAATGTTCCATTTAATATGAGGAATTAATATAAAGGAGTTTTTAATTACTATGGTTTTTATCAGTAGAATGCAAATTTCCTTTAGATATTAGTCTATCTGTGCTTTGTGACCCTGGAATATATCCAATTAGATTTTCTTTGGAATAGTGGATGCTAATTTGCACTCTGTGAAATTCAGCCGATTCTAGGAAGATAAAGAAGGAGATTAGAGGATAACAAAGCTTGAAAATGTGAATTTAATTTACTTTCTTTACAGACAAAGTCGGGTATAAAAGATTTTTCTTCTGTATTTATGTAATCTTATTTTTCCTTCCTTATGCTAATCTCATTTTCTAAAATGTGATGTGTTTTAGTGCGTACACTTTGGCGTGAGTTAAGAAAAGACATACTTAGATGATCCCACTATAACAAATCCTTTATATAGAAGAGCTTGTAAATTTATCCCAGCACTGCACAGTCTGTCTATTAGACTATAAATTTCTCACTAAAAGGGAATGTTAGGTAAAGTTGACATGGAGTTCATTTTACATATCCACCAGTGAATTGGTAGTTAGCTCCATGAGAACTGCTAGAAAATTAGCTTTCAGAAACATACTGTAGTAGGACTTCTTCAGGTTTTGGACCTGTATAATTTGTAGACAAATTGAACAGCAGTAAATTAAATCTGCTATTCTATCTTGTCATTAAAAAATGGCATACATGTATCCTGTAAGCAGTTTATATAACTAATATATTTTCAAATTAAAAGATTATACTGAAAAATACTTTCTGTCTTAATTTAATGCTAGACCTTGTCTGTCTTGAGTTACATGCCATATTGTGACAGTTAAGAGCATTATATGTTGAAAGATAGATGAATGTAGACTGGAGCCCCTCTGCCACTAGGTTACAAATCTCTACATCATGGGCTCATAAGCAGCATTTATAAATGAGGCTTGTGACAGCCTCATGTGGGAGTATTGCCACTGCAACATCCGTCTTTCCCATATACACAGAGGCATTTTTCCCCAGTGTCTCTCTCTCTCCAGCAAATCCTCCTCTGTAATATGGTCTAATCCTTCCCTATCTTTTTTCCCTTCTCTTTCCAGTCCTCTGCTTATGTCCTATGTGTTTCTCCGTGCAAGATATCCTTTGGCTGGTTTTCAGAGCTACACGTCTGATAAATGTCTAGTCAGGTTACCTCTGGTGGTTAGGCAGTTGGTTGCTGCCAAATAGAGTGTGTAACAGAAATGGATGGATGGCTGCCATTCCCTTCATGGCTGGGTTAATTTGGTTTCTCAGCTCCTTCCCATTGGTAAAATAAGGACATTTTTAGAAATTTATTGTCTGAAGGTTTTACCTCTCTTTGACCTAGCAGCTGAGTAGAAAACTATCTACATAATAAGCATGCATAATCTTTATTTTCTGGGGAAACTAAGCTAAAATTTAGTGTAAGAAGAGAAAATACTTGGGTTTGGACTAACTTGGTGTTGACCTTTAACTTCAGCAAGTGTTTACTTATTCAGATGTTTGCCTTCTGCATCTACTCAAGTGCACTGTAGAAGTGACCTTGTTCATTTATAGCCTAGTCACTACTCCTGGTCTGATGCAAAATGTGTTTCATGGGTCCAAAAGGCTCAGCCAAGGGGAAGAAAGCATATGAAAGAATAACGTGTTTATAGAAAAAGTTAACAGTCTTGTGCCATGGGGATTCCCTGCAGTGTTTAAAATATACCTGAAAACTGTAGCAAGGTGGCAACATTTTCCTAGTTAAAGACTTTAAAAACATGAACCCTGTCTAAAACAGCTCTGACAAAGTGAGATTTTCTGTGTGTCAGGTTTTCTGAGGCTTCTTTTTTCTTGGCTTCTATATAAGCCATTCAAGAACAAATTCTGTAAGCTAAAGTGTGGTCAGACTTAAGAGATTTTGGGTATTAGATTTATAAATATCTCCACCTGAACAAAACTTCATGAAGGCAACAAAAAATCTTTCTTCAGTTCAGCTATACTGTGATCTCTGGAGAAACTTTACAGAAAGAGACAATTGTAAGAATATTATCCTGGAAAGGCTTACTCAAAGTGAATATATGAGCTTCTTAGTTTCACTGTGCAGACAGTGACCTATGTGTCTTTATCAGAGCAAAAGTGAAACAGAAGAGAGTAAATAGGACAAGGGTAAAAGGAAAATATAGGCTAATATTCTTGCATATAGCTTTAAAAAGGCTTTTGACCTTAGATTCTCAATGTCCAAGTAATTTAAAATAGTGAAGTAAATTCTACAGAATTTTGATTCCTTTTATGTGATAGATTTTTGGCATTGTCTTTATGTATGTAGTTCATCGTAAGAGTTGATGCCTGTGCATGAAAGAGGGAAATAGAAAGCTTGTTAGATAAGCATGGTATATAGTTTAAATAATACTGACTTCTCCTGCTGTACTTTTTGGTATAAATATTCATTCCTTATGTCTACATGCCATAACCATGAAATACAGTGGTGTGTGAAGAAGTATCTTCTATTTTAAATGAGCTTATTGCTGAACCTGTTTTGACTTGTTGGCAAGTGGGCCATAGGTCTGTATCGGCATAGATTTCCCATATGCAAATCTCTGGAAGTTCAAAAAATTGTTGGAAAACTGTTTCCATCAGCAAATTCACATTTTGCAGTATGGCAAGTTTCAGGCCAGTAACATAAACTACAATTTTAGATTAAAATACTTGATTAAAGAAGGTAGAAGTGTGGCTGTGCAATCCTAGTATTATATCTTAAATAAAATATGTTACGTTTTATATCTAAAGAAATCATGTGTGTGTGGGGGGGGGAACATTACTCTTCCCTGTCCTGTTGCTTTCATCTTTCAATGATTAACTCACAGAAGTCTTTAGACATTTCTGAAGAAATCTTACTATAGAAATTTATCCATGTGAATAATATATTGGGACCCAATTAACACTAACTCAAGTTTGAATTTTTTAATTCAGTTCTAGCTTAAATTTTACAAAAATCTTGTGTGCTCTAAAACCAATTTTTCTTTAGGTATAAAATCAAGACTGGGTTTTAATTTACAACATTATACTCTATAGGTTAAGAAGTTTGGTTTTACAGACAAAATGTTAGATTTTTGTAATGAAAACTGAAATGAAATAACCTTGTTTCTCAAGATAAAAATTATATTATATAAGTCTATCCCTTCTACTTTTGTGTGGCTTTAGATTGCTGTTTGGCTTGTGGTTTGTATTTTTATGTGTTTGCTGTTCTTTTGCAGACGGTTAGAACAAAATTCAATCAAGGTCATACCTCCTGGAGCTTTCTCACCATATAAAAAGCTTCGAAGAATGTATGTACTAAATAATTCAGATTTAATTTTTTATTTTCATATATACACACATATACATATCTACATGTAAAAATAAAAAAACAAGTCCAGGTCATACAAAGGAACTGCAGTCAATGAGTGAGCATTTAAGAAAGTTTGACTGCTGGAAGTTCAACTGATATGGCAAGCTGATTATTAAGACCAGATAACATCTTTGTCACATTAATAATAATTTTTTTTTTTACCAAGTATTGAAATTATTTTATAGAAGCAATATGTTACTGTAGCGAACAGTCTATAAAAAATAAATTAATGGGGATAAACCACTGCTATTTCAGAATATCTTTAAGGCTGTATAGTCCTATGGTCATAGCAAACAGACAATTCTTTTATGAAATGTATTTAAGCAATTAGAAAAAGTAAATATTTTTGTCTTTTTTTCCAAGCATTTGAAAAATCTATTTTTGAGCATGCATTTTGTTCAGTTTACTGGCAATTTTAGTGGTTTTATGTTAAAATTCTTTGGCAGTGTTTCACATAAATATTTTAATTTCCCTCTCCTTTCCATGCCTAATTCAAATTACATATTATTTTAATATTAGCTATTTTGAAAATAGCTTGAATTAATTGAAACAAATTTCATGTATTTCAGTGACCTGAGCAATAACCAGATCTCTGAAGCAGCTCCAGATGCTTTCCAGGGCTTACGTTCACTCAATTCACTGTAGGTATCTATTTGACCTGTAAAAACAGAAGCAAATTTCTCATATTCTTATAGTGAAATTATTTTTGAGTTTTGGCTCCCTACAGAATTTCCATATAAATTTGATAATTCTGAAAGCTGTAAAAATAATTTCAAAATCTTAGAATAATAAGTGAATACTGTATTGCAGCTGGACACTAAAAATGTATGGGTTTTTCATAAATACATTCATGGCAAAGAGTTGAACAAAATCAAACATTTCTTTTATTCCCCAGTTAGTTGTTACAAACAGCAAATCCACTTCCCAAGGTCCCTTGGTTAGGCTGTAAACAGTGAGGTGCTGATTCTGCTGACAGATCTTTGGGCAACTCACCTTTTGGGAAAATGTGTGATCCTGCTACCTCACAAGACTACAAGGATCTTGCAAGTATCAAGTTGTTGCTGTTAAATTCTCTTCAGGACATGGAAATTATTTTTTTAACGTCAAAATCATATAGTATATGCCTTTCATAATGGCGGCTTTGTTTGCTTTATTATTTCCTGCTACAGTGTCCTCTATGGCAATAAAATTACAGAACTTCCAAAGGGCCTATTTGAAGGACTCTTTTCTCTGCAATTGCTGTGAGTATTTTTTTTAATATTTATTCTATTTTGGGATAACTCAGAAGGGTAAGCATGATGAGAGATTTATGCCTGGAGAAGAACTGGCAGGAAATCCAGTATGTAAGATCAGAGTATGATAAGAATAAATTATGTTAAAGTCAAAGGAGTCAAGACTGTTGCAGGTCAGCTTGCCATTCATCCACAAATTCGATCATATCTCACTTAATGTCAGCCTAAAATGGTTAAAATGAAACTGTTCTCTTGTATGGATTTTTTAAGGATAATACATGTAAGATAGGATACTGTCTTTTCCTCCAAGCAGTGTAGTATGTCTAAAGTTGTGTGAGAATCATAAAAGGAATATTTGTTCTATACAGAAAAAATATGTAGTGGAAATGCTATGTAATTGTATTTCTGGTTGTACCCTTGGAAGAACAGAGTAGTACTACAGTTTCATTGATGACATTCAATGTTTTCTTTCACTCTTCTCTGTACAATTCATTGACTACGTGAACTCCAGCTGCTATTTCATTTAACACTGGAAATTTTCACATGTAATCTTATAAACCATTTCTATTTATATTTAATACTGGGAATAAAGAAGAATTTCATGGTGATATATTTAATAAATATTGTCAATATTTAGCAGCGGAGGCTGTGCACTAGCTGTACTGTGTAAAAGAAATTTGTGAAATGGGTCATAAAACAAGAGGAGTTTTTGGAAGGAATTGACCCAGAATAACTGACATGTTGATTTAACGCTTCTTCTTAAAGAATTTATAACTTCTTCCCACTTGATAAGAAGTATTTAATGTCCAGATTTTATAATGTAGTAATTGTCAAAATGTCTATTAACAACTTATTGAAGATGGCAAAACAGTAAATAGATAGAAAGAAAATGCAAGTTCTAGCACCACCTAGAGGTTTACGTTTTGATTTATTTTTAGTCACAGATTAGTATAATGGGGGGAAGGGGGGGGCATGCATTGCTGTTTTCGTTTAAAGAGTTTTTAGTTATGAAAACATAGTTCAGATTTAAAAAAAAAAAAAAAAGTGTCATCTCTGGACTTCAATTTATTCTGTATTAAAAAAAAAAAAAATGTCCATAACTTGTTATACTTTGCATAGACAATACATTTCAGTCTAAGTAAATTTCTACTTGTGTGGTGAAAGTTTGTATCAGAGCATTGGTTTCCAAATCCACCATTCCATTCCATTTCTGTCTGGAAATGGGAAAAAATCAAAGATATTTGGTTATAAAAATGCACCTAGTTGAATGACATTTTTATTTTTCTTCCTCTTCAAAAGCATGAAGGAGTTGGTTTAGATTGGCTTGTTTGCTTTAACTTCAGAAGTCTGGGAGGTACAGGGAAGAAAAGGTTCCCTTTGAAGACGGAGAGGAAAAAGGATCCAAGACAGATTTGGATATATTCCATGCCACCAGTTTTTACTACAACTCTGTTAATGCGGCAGCATGCTGATTAGTAACATATAATTAAAAGTGCCACTGCACATCTCTTCCAGCTAATGAACACAGTGTTCAGTTCCTTTTTTGTTTGTTTATTTATTTGGCAAAAGAAAGTAGTTTTCCTTGCAGATACTTGATTTTTTAAGCTTCTTTCTTTGCACAGACAAACACCACTCACGCACATTTTATCAACCCATATAAGAAATGTGATTTTAGCTGAACAAACCCACACATTTCAACTCCAAGGTGCAAATATTTAGGAATAATTTCAGAACACCTAAATAAGATATTTCAATTCCCTGAAATGCCATATGTCACTGTCAGTTAATATTTGTTACTACATCTCTTGTTCTGGTTACAAATGCACACAAAGAATTATCTGTGAAAAACGCTGAAGCGATGCTGAGTGAATTCTTTCACTGTTATAATTGTCTTCCATTGAACAGATTATTGAACGCCAACAAGATCAATTGCCTGCGAGTTGATGCTTTTCAAGATCTGCACAACTTGAATCTTCTTTCTTTGTACGACAACAAGCTGCAGACCATTGCAAAAGGCACCTTCTCACCCCTACGTGCAATTCAGACCTTGTATGTATGCTCCTGTTTATGGCTGTCTTTAGTACGACTTCTTATTCTACAATGCGCTAAAAATATCAGGAAGTGTTGAGACCAAAGGGAAATAATGTGTGAAATTATAATTTTTTTTTTCTTCATGAAAGGCATTTGGCTCAGAACCCATTTATCTGTGACTGCCATCTGAAGTGGCTGGCGGATTATCTTCATACAAACCCCATTGAGACCAGTGGTGCCCGTTGCACCAGCCCCCGCCGTCTGGCAAACAAAAGGATCGGCCAGATCAAAAGCAAGAAATTCCGCTGCTCAGGTAATTTTTTTTAGTTCAGCTGCTATTTTTTTTAATTAGCAAAAACAGTGGTTGTGGAAGTTCTAATGAAGGCAGCTGGCTCTCTATGAAATCATTAAACATTGCAGAATCTTTTTTCTTTGACTGAAGGGGGGAAATCATGGAAGTCATAGACTATGGGATCACGGAACATTACTATAGTTAACACATTTGGCACTATTTTTGAGTAGCATTAAATCTAACAAAAGAAATGCAATATATAATACTTCAGAATGAAATGCTGAAGTTATTCACTACAAGTATCACCAACATAAATCATTTTGTAAAATTTCCACAAGGCTCTGGAGTATGTGAAAGATCTAAAAATTTCTAGCTAAATATGAAAACATGACATATTCATTTTATACAGGGAGCTTACCTCATACTGAAATTTACTGTTTTCTTTTTTCTAATCTCACTCCATTTCCTACTTACATTTCTCTAAATCCTAACTTGTCATATGGTATCCAGCTGTTCCAGGTGCATTTCACATTCTACAATTTATTCAGTCTCAAGTGCAAATACCAGATGAGAACTGTTTGTTATCCATGTTCCGGATACATTTATGACTATTCACACTTTGTTGTTTATCAGCTCTCGTTGTGGATACACATTTTTTCACTTAATTATCTGTAGTTAACTGTAGTCCATACTTAATCTAATAAAACTTTTTTTTTTTTTTTTCTCTTTATTTAGCTAAAGAACAGTATTTCATTCCAGGTAGGTTTGGCTCTGCAGTAAGATTGACTAACTGCAGATACTCTCTCCCTTTCCCCCAAAAAGCAAAGTTTGTTATAGCTTTTAGGAAACTGATGCATGTGTATTAACATTAGTCAATACCTGTAGCTAGACATAGTTTTCCTTTGTAGAGTACTAGTAGTTCTGTTTTCTAAATATAAGAGCTTAGCATGCAGCTCCATTTAGGGTTTTTTTGTTGTCTCACAAATTTGCACACAACCTACCAAAATTATACATCTACTTAAATTATTTAGAAGGTTGCACCTGCTAGTTCATATTTCAATTGACACCTTTACTTATCTTATACCTTGCCTTTCTGCCACTACTGTTTTTAAATGTAGCTCCCGAGCTGCTTTTAAACACAGGAAACTGTACTAACATCAAAGAGCTAGTACAACTTATAAAAATAAACGTTTTACAAATGAACATTTTCTTGCTTTGCTTTCATGCTCTACACTGGCTGCAGCTACTGCTTGCTCACCCTCCTTGTGTTTACGAAATCACAGTGGAATGCTTGGAAAAGAAAGCTGATATTCTTCATTAAAGGCATTCTGTGGTCACACACATACAATGAATCAGAAATGCTTTCCATTAAAGAAAATACGACTTTAGAGTTGGAGTGAAACAGCAATTTACACACTGCTTTAAGCTACAATAAGTCTATGATATTTTCACAAAAGATTTACTGATGTTGGCCCTAGCTCTTTGAAATACGTTTCTTTCTTTATTTTACCTTGCTTGTCAGGTGTGTGCACTGATTCTTAATAGTAAAAAAAAACAATGATGCGCTCGCATTATGTTCCTAACAGATTATAAATGATTGATTGACAAAATAAACAAGGGAATAATGAATCTATTGATGAATTACAGTATGTGATTTGCAAGCAGGGGTTTGTACCACAGTTTAATACCTAGAAAAATATCTACAATAATTGATTATGACACCAGTGCACTTATTCTTTCAACTACAACAGGTACATTGTCATTCTGCAGTGGTCTTTGTCTTTTAAGCTGGTATGTTTAATAGCTCTTTCCATAATACTGTGAGATATATCACTTAAATTTGCAGCAATTATGAAGTTCTTCATGCCCTCATAATAAAGTTGGTTTGAATATGAAGAAAAACCAAAATGAAATACCAAATAAGGCAGCAATTTTTCATCATTGGCAGCCGCGAAAATGTGTTTTAAACCAGCATAAAACAGAGGGGGATTCAATTTCTCAAACCTGTAGTACCACTCAATTCCTTAATGAGTAGAACAGCTGTATTCCTGCCACAGAGTGACTTCTACTCAACCTTGCCAGCACAACTTTTGTCTCTGAGTTAGAAGTGTTTTCTTGCCAGCAAAAATGTCTTCACAGCCTGTTTATAATATGGCCACACATGCAGTTAAGGTTTGTTTATGTACCCTTTAAAAAATGCTGTTTCTGAAAAAATAAGAAGAAAAATAATTAATCAGTAAGTGTTACAGACCTACTTCTTGAAATACAGCTTCTGTGCTTTTTCTTTCTATCAGGTTATCAGCAAGATGCTGCACAAAATTATTTTAGTTGTTCAAAATCTTGTCCCTGAATAGTTTATCTGTTTCAAGTGATAACAGTGATTTATTCTAGGTTCAGGAGGGGAAAGAAAAAAAAAAAAAAAAGTATTTTTAACCTTCCTTATTGGGTATTTAAAAGTGCTAAAACCACTGTAAAAATGTTAGCATTTCTTTAAAAACTTAAAAATATTTTATATTTGTTTAAATATTTCATTGTGAGATCTTGTTCTGCAGACACTAAGGAAGTCTTAATACAATTTCATCATAGTCATTTGGAAGACTAAATGTTATACAAGTATTAAACCATTAAATTGAAAAAATATCATTTGTCTGGTAGCTCAGAAATATTCCATGTAGTTATATGTGTTACTTAGACATTTAAAAATGCTAGATAACATAATATGTGATGAGTTGGGTTTTTTTCTCATCCCCTGAAAAATCTGTTTCTCCTATGTTCCTTTGGTTTGTTAAGGTTTTAAGTGGCATAGCATGTGTATATGTTCAAGGGAGCAGCTTTTAAGAATACATTCAAAATAGTGAAGAATAATGCATGGGAGGTATCATTATCCTATATTAAATCTGTAATTAACCCCAATCTTCATTTTTAAATGCCACTTAAAATGAATTATTCTTTCTATCTGCTGAAGATGGTACCCCTTATCAACATCATCTAATCAAACTAAAGTTGAGTAGAGAACGTGAGAGCTTAGTTCATGTTTTTGTCTTAATTGGGATTACTCTGTCTTTCTTTCCTTCTTGGCTATCTTTACTTTTGCAGGAGTTCACCATTTTGGCTGTAAGTAAAGTTCAGTGTCTGAGCTAAATCACAATGTACCTCCCAGCCCTGATGCACCTTCTACTAGTCTCAGTCTTTTCACCTTTGTCCAAGAAGAACCCACAGGTCCTTTCAGCTTCTCTTTGTTTTCTTTGTCACCCACCCTCAGTTCCTTACTGGATGTTTTCTCCTGATATGTTTAGGACGTTTTCTTTGACTGACTCTGGGAAATGGTGGAGGAAACTTTCAATGTGGTTCATTTTTTTTTTTTGGTACTTTTTATTTAATCTGTGACAGTAATACTGTTACTGTGGCACTGGACATTCAGTCATAAGAATGCCATGTCATGTAAGCAAGTATTAAACTTCAAACGCTACTCCTTCCTCTTTTCCCTTGCTCTTATCCTTGGCCTAATGGATGCAGTTTTGATAACGTAGCGAGATTTTCTGTTGTGCTTGATCTAACCATGTGGTTGTGAGGTATGAGTAAAACATGGTTCTGTCAAGCACCATGGAACGTCACGCAGCTTTCTACAGCATGGCAAGCTGCTGAGGCTTAAGTCAGGATCACACATTTTTTAAATTAAAGCTGAAAACAGGGCTTTCAATCTTACGTTTGAGATGATGTGGAGTATCAGGACTATTAAAAAAAAAAAAAATCACAGAGGTTAACGAGGTCCAGTCATCAATACAAATTTGTAACAAGTGAAAGAGAAAAGGTGGCATTCAGGATCTATTTATTCTTGATACAAAGAAATAAAATAAATTCTAAAAGAATCAGTGCCATTTGTGTGATTAGCTATAAACAAGGCTAGATTGGCTGACATCATCAGCAGAAAGTACAGCTGTGAAAAGCTCAAGTTAATGTTATCCTGTATGTGAAGTTGGTCACAGTTTCTTTTTCCAGCATATCTTAAGCCCCTATATTTAACCCTCTCTTGAAGCCCTTGTGTCTGTTCAGTATCACAAAGTTTATCATGCATTTCCCAAGTTGCCCACCCGTTATCTGCATTGCAGACATCTTTCCAACCTTCTCACAAGAAGTAAATCTTATACTTTATTGACTCAGTATCTGTATTTTGACTTGACTCTTCCACAGGCACTGAAGATTACAGATCCAAATTAAGTGGAGACTGCTTTGCAGATTTGGCTTGCCCTGAGAAATGTCGCTGTGAAGGGACCACAGTGGACTGCTCCAATCAGAAACTCAACAAAATTCCTGATCACATCCCCCAGTACACAGCAGAGTTGTAAGTTGAACCCATAATAAATAATTATTTGCTTAGTGAAAAACTAACTAAAATTTTCAAATGTAAAACCACAGCTTTACTTTTTTGAAAAACAAAGATTAAATGTAACCTCTGTGGTGCACTTCAAAGGATAGATATTAAGATAAAATTATTTATGCATCATTTCTATACCATGTAGCCTTAAAAACTTAAAATAAATGCATAATGTAACTATTCTTTGTTTCTAATTCTCCAGTATATGAGCTACACACTTGGATTTTTTTTGAAAGGTAGCAGGGCTTATTTTGCTTTTTATTTTAAGTACAAGAGCAAGTAGGACATCCAGGAACCACAATTCTGTCTTAAAATGTTTAATAAAACAGAGGTGATTCTTCAAAGCACACATCATGTGTGTCAGGCAGGAGACCAGAGGAAGATACAGCTAAGAGGAAGATAAAGATAAAACAAGACAGGGTTGGGTTAAAAAGATGAGATATCTGAAAATGAAATGAACAGAGATGAGCAGAAAAGAAGTCACAGATTATTAATTGCTTAATAAGTGTTGTATGGGAATGATTTGTAGGCATCACAACTGAAATGGTCTTCAAGGAGGGATCAAAAGGTAAAATTAAGAGAGCTTTACAAGGTTTTCCCATGCACTAAGCATGGGAAATGCAGAGATGCTTCAAGGATCAGCAGAAAGGGTGGAGATGAAAGTGGCCACCAATGGCAGAGCAAAGGCAGAAGGAAATAGCTGGTTTTCCTAGGAGATTCAGTTTAAAAAACAAGTCAGAATGTTGAAGAACAAAAGAGAGGGACCTTTGATTTGATGTAGTAGAGGAGGGACAGAGATATGGAGATGGGAGTGCTGTGATCAAGTTGTGACCCACAAGGGTGAGATGAACAACAGTATGTCATATTTCTTAAGAGATAATCAGCCAGCAGCTGGCATCAAAGCAACAGTACAGCTCTGAAGGTATGAAATAATGAGACCATGGTTAAGGATTTTGAATATCTGGACAGAAAAAGGAATCTGAACTGAAATATCATGTAAATAGAGATGAAGATTTTTGTCTGTCTGTCACTGGGGAGAGGGAGTTGAACTTAGTCATGTTCTAATTACAAATCTGAGTGGTAATCCTAGTTGTGCCCAGAATGATGGTAAATTCAATTGAAAAAGTGGCATATGTGGGAAAAGCAAAGCTCAGCTTTTGGCCATGTTCACACTGTTGACTTACTGTTCATAAAGTAATGCCAGAGAAGAAAAAACTTGATACACAGTCTTCAATAAAGGGAGATAGATTTCTGTGGAGAAATACATTTTATGTTATGCTATAATATTTTGAGACAAAATTACTTGAATTGAAGAATAAAAACTGATGAATGGGTAACAGGTTAAAGTGTAGATCATAAATGGTTGTAAAAATCGTAGTTACTGAACCAACAGAGGAGAAATGTAGTTGTTGAAGTGATAAGGATGCATTGTCTTAATTCTTATAAGGATTCATGTTTAATTCTCTTTGCTCTAAAGAAATAATAATAATCTTAATTTAGTATTTTAATTGTTGTTTTTCATATTAATTTATTTACATGTGGAAGATAAACTTCAAGTATTTTCCTTCTATAATTCATACATATTAAATTCAGAAGAAACAATTAAGTCATCAAGCCTCATCTGCTGTGTATCCTAAACTCTCAAACAGCCAACAATAAATTGTGTTTGACTAAAACATAATTCAGGTTTGGTTACAGCACTTCTTTCAGAGAACAGTCTTGTTTGAAGGTATCAGTGGATTAAAAATCCACCATTTCCCTAAGAGTGTTTCCCTGAGACTGTTAATCATCTCCCTTCACTTCTGTTAAAATCTTTTTAAATGGGAATTTTACTTCCAGATGGAATCTGCTTCTCTTCAGTTTCCATCATTGCTTCCTTTACATTTTTTGTCGTTAAAGAGCCCTTTTCTATCCAGCACTTTATCCAAGTAAGATAGTCTTAAAATGTAACAAGAAAAAGCATCAAATAAAAGAGAAACAGAATATCTAGACGTCATTTGAGGATGAAATTGCAGTACTTTTCTTTGAATAAAACAGATACAAGTATTTTTAAGATAATTTTCATAATCCATAATTCATATTTTTAAGATCATTTTAATAATCAATTTCAAATCAAATCGTAAGTGATTGACAGGTAACAACTATCATTGTCTTTACCAGTAAAGAGCACTGGGATTAAAAAATAATTATGTTAAGAGCCATAAGGGAGATATCACCACATCTCTTCATTTTCCAGTCATCTGTAATAATTTTGAGTCCTCTATGTTTGTATCACTTCTCATAACAGAATGAGAACTTCTTGCACAAATATTTAACAATTCCAGATCTAAAGCCATAGAAATTCTATGTGATCCATGTGGTCATTCCTCTGACCATAAACCCATAATTTGTAACTCTTGATGTCCCTTTATTTGTGAGTGTTCCCTCAGTGAGGACACATGATTTGTAATATCACCATTATACACTAAGTTAGTGAGAAAATACGAGTTGTGCTATGGTTTTAAACACAGTACACAAATTCAAAACACAGGGGAAATTCTTAAAATTGTTCTATAATATTGGTAGCAGAATAAGACTAGTTTAATAAAAATTAATTTTCTAAATATGACATTAGATAGGACTAATTATCAGCAAATACAAGAGTGAGGAATAGCCAGCAAGTAACTGAAGATAAATGCTATGGTGGTATCATACATTTTAAAGATGAAGGACTGCTACTGGGCACTGCTACTGCTACAAATCTCATTTTGGGATATATGTACAGGGGTGTAGTATGTAAGTTATATGAAATAATTGTTTTACTCTACATAACAGTAGTAAAATATCAGCTGGGATACTGTGTCAAGGACTACACTTTTCAAGATGGATATGAATGACTTGGAAAAAAAATTCAAGAAGAACAAGAATTATCTAGAAGATAAGACTTCCAAGGAAAATCTGAAAAGATTTAATGCCTTTGTGTGAAAGAAACTTGAGGGAAGAGTCCAAGTAAATTATTTTTAATATGTAAAAGGTTGTTGCAAAGAGGAAAGGATCAAATCACTTGCCTTTTTCAGTGGGGTTAGAAATGTTTGCAATAGAGCACAGCAAGTTTTATTAGAATCAGTAAATTTTCCACAAACAGATCATTCTAATAGATGATATAGCACATAACTTATATTTGAAACTGTCAGTATTTAGAGAATGCTTGGTACTTCAGTTGTTGATGGAGGGAAAAAAAGGCTATTGCCTTTGATGTTGAGGGAAAAAAAGGCTATTGCTAATGAAGAAGTAACTTTGTTAACTGACACTGTGCAAAAACTAATTTGATATGTTCTCGCTAAAAAAATCACATTAAGTTATTCAGCTGATTTTCAGAGATGATTTTTCAGATTTTGAAATTCACGTTCCTTATACTTCAGTGTGGTATACACATGTTCTGTGTATATGCAAAAAACTCCTTCCTCTCTTCTCTCGGTTTCTTCTGTGCTGAAACTATCGTACAGCCATACCTTCAGATTTACAGCCTTAATTTCCCTTCTGGCTATCATTGAGAATAAGCAGGAAGGAAGGATGAATGAGCAGCTTTCTTTTATTTTCTAGGGGTTTTTTAATTTTTCAATAAGGTAATTTTGAAAAGCATTCTGAGTTTAGAATTATGCTGAATTTCATTTCACAGAGATCTTGTCAGTCATCTCTTTCTCTTCCTTTTTAAGATCTCTAAATAAAAGCTGGACAGACTCCCTTCCTTAATAAGATGACTCCATTAAAGCATACAAAGAATCTAAGACTCATAATTTCCGTTTTCTTTTCAAGAGAGGAAATAGGGAATACTGGGTTAGTGCAGATATTTTTAGAAATCTACATAGTCCCCTAACTTAGCAGTTGATAAAAGTATACTATGCTGGAACAGCCTTGATAGCAGGGCAGGAAAGAGCCCTATTCAGCTAGTATTTGTTGCTCATTATATACCTTCCTGTAGTGCTACAAATCAACATTTAATCCATTCTTATGCAATACATGTGTGTTAGATGTAGTGATCTGAAGATAAACCGTGGTCAGAGAACTGGTTTTAAATTCTTGGGAAGACCTATGCAGTGTGTTTCAGTCCCTACTCGAAAGCTTTGAGCATAAAGTAATTATTTCATTCTTGTAAATAGTGTTCTGTGAGCACCTCCAGATGTCTGGCAGACCCCACCTGATATCCTTTAAAGAACAGTAAACTAATCTTCAGTGGTTTATATGTACTTCTTAAAGATTTTTATTTATAAGTTGCCATGGAATCCTTTCTTAGTTACATTTTTGTTTTTCTTCCCTTAGAAGAAAAATGAAAAACACGTTTTTACATTTCTCTGCCGTTTTAGTTGTATGATATTTCGTGATATGGTTTTGGTTCTGTATGTCTTATGTATGCCTAAATTTAACTAATAAGAATGTTCATTCAGAGGAATTATCAGAATTAGAAATGTAAGTATATATGGGGAATTGTTTTTCAGCTACCAGTTAAACACCAGTTATTCAGTTAAACAATTCTGAAAAGTTCTCTTAGTGTGGAACACTCTGTATCAATGCCTGAATCAATTTTTTTTAAAAACTGGTGTTATTTCTTCTAGGCGACTAAATAACAATGAATTTTCCGTCCTGGAAGCTACTGGAATCTTTAAGAAACTTCCTCAACTGCGTAAAATGTAAGTGCAACTTCAGTGACCTTGTCTATTCATATAGCGTGTTAGCTCCTTGCTGTGTTTCTCCACCTTTCTTAGTTCTTATCTATAAAGGATTCAGCATATTCTAATAAAAAATCAAGAATGGGTTTAAATTAATCACTGAGGTAGGTCAGAGTTGGCAGGTCTTCTCTATGGGACTAGGCATTGCCAGCAAAAACTTACAGTGTATAGCTCCGGCACCTTCACTGCAGTGTCCAGCCAGCTGGTCTGTTATGCTGCCACAGCAGGGAGCTCACAGTATAAGCTGCTCAAAAAAGGTTCCAGTAATCATTTATAACTTCCTGTACTACTGCCTAACCAGGCAATTTTGCCTCCTTCAGCACATTGAAGACATGCCTTTGATTCTGTGCTTCATTAAACTGTCATTAGATGAAGGGAATATCAAAATTAAATGACTCAGAAAAAAATGGTTTGATAGCTCATCCATGTAAGTCCACTTCACAGTTCATGTTCTAAGAGGAGTTTATAATCTTACCAGTTGCAATTGTTACTAAATCTGTGAAAAGCTTTCCTTTCACTTCTGTAAAAGATATATTTAGGAGTAGATCATTTAGTCAGACTTAGTAGCTGTGCTCAACCTTTTCAGAATTAGATCCAAACATAAGTAGTGAACAAAAATGTACATAAAAATATATAAGATTAGTTAACATTATGTACTGTTTTGTGGTTCACCAAGTTACTACCATTTGTAAAAGATCAGTCTATATTACTAGTGACCAAAATCTCAAGGGGAACAATAGTATTACTTAACTATTAACCTTATCCAGATCCTTGCTGGCAGCTGTCACAATCACAATTAGTTAAATATTTATTACAGAATTTTTTAGGTAATAGACAAAGATTTTGGGGAAAAAAAAAAAAAAAGGACATCAACTTTGCTTTTGACCTATCCACTTGAGTACACCTTGCTGCCTTGAATTGGGCTGAGATACTTTAAAAAAAAATGTAGGAATGTCTTGCACAGCACTGTTTTGGTGCTAGACAGTAGATACCCAGTTTTTTCTTATTCCTCAGGGATCTCAGATTAGCACTTTTTAGAGCTACAGAGAGCCTTTGAAATAAATAAAATACTCAATGAGGCATAATTACACATGTGCACACACACATGCACACACATCTATCAGTTCATATTTAAGAAAAATGTTAAAGGGAATATATTGTCAGTAATTACAGATTTTCAGACTATAAAGGTAGTTTAGTAAACATTTCATGTGATCTAAAGCTAGTATGCTGCTTTTTAGCTGAGGAGGTGTTCAAGATGAAAGAAAGAAAAGGAAGAATATTAATCAGTCTCAATGTAGCTGTCTGCTGGAACTCCCAAAAGCTTTGAAATATGAATAATTGAGGAAGGACAAAATTGAGAAATTGTTAATTAAAAGTTCACATTTTTAGTAATACTGCTCTGTAACTTCCTAATATATTTATCAGTTGTTAACAACATTCTTGAATTCAGAGAATAATCCAGTCACTGGTCAAGCATGACTGGAAAGCAGTGAGGCAGTGATGTTACAGAGACACAAATAGGGGTGAATTCTGTATTTTTGTGGAGCTCATATTTCTTCTGGAGGCTCAAATAGGTGCAAAGGTCTTTCTGCACAGACGACATTGAAAAATTGGAGCCTAAATGTTTCATTGATTTGATGGTTAAGCAGTAATAAAGCACTTGTATGCACTGCATCATTGATTAGCTATGCAACATTAATCCTTAAAATATCTCTGTGAAGTGGGTGAAGTAGTATCCATGTTACACCAGGAACAAGTAAGATTTTAGGAGACTAAGGGCTTGACATGGGTAAGTCAGCTGAGAGGAATAATGAGTTTCTTGCTTCCAGTCTTGTGCAACACTTTACAGAAGACAGAACAGCTCCACTGTGAAACTAAATTAAAGTGATGACTGCAGATATTGTCTGTCTAGACTTTAGTAAAGGCTTTGACACCATTTCTCCTGGAAAAACTGGCTGCTCATGGCTTAGATGGGCATACGCTTCTCTGGGTAAAAAAATGACTGGATGGGCAAGCCTAAAGAGTGTAGAGTTAAATCCAGTTGGTGGACAATCACAAGTGGTGTTCCTCAAGGCTCAGTACTGGGGACAGCTTTGTTTAATATCTTTATGAACAATCTGGACGGGGGGATCGAGTGCACCTTCAGTAATTTTGGAGACGACACCAAGTTGGGCAGCAGTGTTGATCTGCTTGAGGGTAAGGAGGCTCTACAGAGGGATCTGAAAAGGCTGGATCAATGGGTCAAGGCCAATTGTATGAGATCAACAAGTGCCACATCCTGCACTTGGGTCACAACAAGCCCATGCAACGCTACAAGCTTAGGGAGAGGCTGGAAAGCTGCCTTGTGGAAAAAGATCTGGGTTTGTTAGTCAACAGCCAGCTGGACATGAGCCGTCAGTGTGCCCAGGTGACCAAGAAGGCCATTAGAATCCTGGCTTGTATCAGAAAGTGTGGCCAGCAGGACTAGGGAAGTGATAGTCCCACTGTACTCGGCACTGATGAGGCCACACCTCAAAAACTGTATTCAGTTTTGGGACCCTCACTACAAGACATTGAGGTGCTGGAGTGTGTCCAGAGAAGGGCAATGAAGCTGGTGAAGGCTCTGGAGCACAAGCCTTATGAGGAGCAGCTGAGGGAACTGGGGGTGTTTAGCCTGGAGGAAAGGAGGCTGAGGGGAGACATTATCGCTCTTTACAACTACCTGAAAGGAGGTTGTGGTGAGGTGGGTGTCAGTCTCTTCTCCTGGGTAACAAGCACTAGGGTAAGAGGAAGTTTCACCAGGAGAGGTTTAGATTGGATATTGGGAAAAACTTCTTCACCAAAAGGGTTGTCAAACGTTGGAAAAGGCTACCCAGGAAAGTGGTTTAGTCACCATCCCTGGAGGTATTTAAAGGACATGTAGACATGGTGCTTTGGGACATGGTTTAGTTGTGTTAGGTTTGTGGTTGGACCTGGTGATCTTAAAGGTCTTTTTCAACCTTAATGTTTCTATGATTGTATCCTTCATCACAGGCAAGGTGTATGTTAAATTACAGCTAGGCTAAAGGTGAGTAGTCAGCACTCGAATTAAGCCACAACTCCTTGTTTTCTGTCTTACATAATGGCACCAGTTAATTCTGGAAGTGTATGAATTTGTTTCCTAACAAATAGTATCTTTCTTGATTTGAACAATAAAAATCCTGTTCTAGAAGTTGAATCAAATGTTTGATTTTTTTTTTTCAAAACACCATTAATTCCGCCAAATAAAAATTTTTTAGCTTCACTTAATTTTACATTGTCTCAGAGCATTTTTAAGAGCTTTTTAAAAATCACCGGTGCATTATAACAGTTTAGTGTGTAGATGTACTTCTGTAATATGTGTAGATAGTTATCTGAAACAAACAAAAGGAGGCAAGAATAATATGAAAAATCCTTAAGAAAATGTGTTGCTGAGTATGTATGCTTTTGTATATACAGTACAGATACTACCCATTTGGGGCGTAATTTCCATATTTCAACTAAACGCCATCAACACTAAATATTTTGGCAGTATTTTAGGTCTTTTTCCCACATTTTGATCTGCTTTGCATGTGAATTGCAGATAAATGAACTATCTTGCTTATAAACCCTTCTTTTTAACTAATGTCATAAATGATTAACGTTTCATGTACTGTTTACATTCACACATTTCATTTACATATGTTGCTGTTTATACTATTTTCTTATATTTGTGTCTGATGAGATGAAATAAAGAAATCGGAGTCGTTAGTTGTGCCGGTACTCATACAGTATCATTTTTTTAATTCGTCTCATAATGCTACAAGGACTGGAGGCATGAAAAAATATACAGTCACTGACAAGATTCAAAATTATGAAAACTTGTTCTTGTGTGGAGGCAGCATGGACTGGGTAATTGCCATTATTTAAAAACATCTTCCAAAGATTGCTTTAAAATTATTTCCTTCTTTATTTATAGGGCATTGAATTTTGCTTTTATTGGTTCAAAGTTGAACAATATATTACACAATAACTCAGTATCTTGGAACCTATGCAGTCTGCAACATTTAACAATTAATTTAGAGTATTTAAAAAAGAAAACGTGTTCTCCATTTCTGCTATTGTATAACAGAAACCTGAGCAATAACAAGATCACAGATATTGAAGAAGGAGCATTTGATGGAGCCTCTGGTGTGAATGAACTATTGCTCACTAGCAACCGCTTGGAAAATGTTCGACACAAAATGTTCAAAGGACTAGAAAGTCTCAAGACATTGTAAGTGTAATTATTTGGGTGCTTTGATTCTTCTTTTCTGCCAGGTGTTTTTTAAAGTAATATTATATCTGTCCTAAAAATGTTTATTTTGGAAGACTAGCTATGGATTATTCAAGCATATCTTGGGTTTTGTTCCTTTTTTACAAAAAGTTATCATACATTATATGAATTCATTATATGTTAATTATGGATATAATGTAGCTGAAATTTTTCATTGTGGTTACTTGACTACAGAAACTATGAATCCTCTAAAATGATGAAGTGGTTGAGAATGGGTAAACATCCAACTGCAGAAACAGAAATGGGAATAATCATCTGCTTCAAAGTAACATAATTTTGCACGGGAATTACACATTTTACGTAATGGAGTCTGATTCAATTCAGCTCAACCATTACTGGAAATTTTGCTAGAGGAAAAAATTATTCTGGTGGATATTGAAATGTGGGAAATTATTCCCTCCTAAGTAATTTTAATGTCATTTCAGCAGTGAAGGGAGGAGTAAAAGCACTATAGCTTGAACTCATTTCATTCTTTCCATAAAGGCTGTTTAGCTCTTTCCACTCAAAAAAAAGATGTTTTATACAACCCACAGCTTCTTGGCCTTCTTCAGAGAGCCTATCCTTCTGATCAGCAGAGCAGAGCCAAGATTAAATGGGCTTTGAGGCTTCAGGTGTCCATTGACATTAGGTTTTTTTAATAAAACAGGCCTATCATTTCTAACTTTGCATTTAAAGCTTCTAAAATTGTTAGAAGCAGCTATTCTTAGACAAGAGCATGGGGAAAAAATACTCATTTATTGATGGGCAGATTGTGGCAAAGGCTCTCAAATAAACAACCAACCACCAAAAAATTAAAAATTTATTATTAACACAATTAACTAGCTCTCCGTAAATTACAGGTTCAAATGTCTGTGAGAGGAGAACAGAACAACTTCCTAGAGTTTAAAGACAACCCAGAACGCCTAACAAAGAACTCTATAGGGTTTAACGGCAACCCAAAATGCTTTTCAAAGTGCCACTCCCTGGGGTTTAACGACAACCCAAAACGCTTTATCACTCACCTGACAAGCGAGGGCTCTCAACCTGGAGTACCTGCTCAGGGCAGCGTCCCGACCCAAGGCCCCTCGAGGATTTTCCTTCGGCAGCGTCCTGACCCAAGGGGAGAGTCCTCGACCGACCGCAGCTGCTGCTCCAGGGGACGAGCTCCCGATGGCTCCCCCAGGGGACTCCATTGATCCCCAGGCCCGATCTGACCTGTGGTCAGTAGCGGCTCCCGTTGGCCAAAGGCCCCAATTACCATGAAGCCCTGAGAACAAAGGCAGCCCCGAGCTGCCACATCTCAGCAGCCAAGAAGCTCTGCTTTCATTGGGTGGCTGCACCTGTCACACAGATAGGACAACAGCAGACTTCAAATATGAGAGATTTTAGAATAGGTGTTTCTTCCTTAGTATTCTGAAATTTTTACTAAATCTTAGAGTCATGCTGAGGAGGAGTCAGGGTAACCTGAATTTAATTTAATTGAAACGCTTGAGAATGTAGTAGAATTATTTTCTAGAATTTATCCTAAGAAAATTCAGAGTGAAGGGACCTCAGGAGGAGTTCAGCTGGTACAACCTTCTGGTCCATGTAAATACCAGCTCTGGAGGCATTAGAATTGTCAACATGAAGAGAGAGGGCTGCTGTGTATCTCTGATTTGGGGCATTTCAATCAGTTTATTTTCAATTAACAAACTCATAAATATTGATTCTGGTATTGAAACAAAAAAAACCCCAAAAGACAAATGCTTATGGGAAACACCCATTGCCTCCATGAAATGTACCTGCCCATCTTTCTGTTTTCCGGTTCGCTCCATGCACACTGCACTTGGTCCCTTCAGTGAGGTGGCGGGCAGCAGGGTGCTCACTGCACTCGTGGCTCCTCCACCGGCAGCAGTCCCTTTGGAGTCATACCTCTTGGCCCTTGGTTGGGCTACGACTTCAGCTCCAGCCCCTGCTCAGCCTAAACTAAGAAATGCTGATGCTTCCTTTCTCAGAATGCTCAGGAGCAACCGCGTGAGCTGTGTGGGAAATGACAGCTTCACGGGCCTGAGCTCAGTCCGCCTGCTCTCGCTGTATGACAACCAGATCACCACTGTGGCACCCGGCTCCTTCGATACACTGCACTCGCTCTCTACGTTGTAAGTCATGTTTGTGGTTTACCTTACCCATGTTTAAACTTCTAATGTTTTGGAGACATTTCTGGTAATGATTCACTGTATAATTTCACAGCATGAGGTAAAGTTAAGGGAAAAAAAAAAGTTCATAGAGGGATTTTTGAGAAAGTTTATTTTCTGGACTATCTTGGATGCATGAAGAGTATACCTGAAGCATGTGTTTTCATGGTGCCCTTTGATGCAGTGGTAAGACTGGTTTCCAGAAGTGCTTGAGAAGGCCGGAAGGGTGTCCTGCTTGCTGCCCTCACAGAAGCCCACTGATCTGAGCCAGGGTAGAAAGCTACATTTTGACTAGGCATTGCACAGTCACAGCTGGTCAAATCGCCATGGTGTCTGTCTTTCTGCACTGTGCTGTCCAATTATTATCGTAGATTTCCTCAGCCTACTGAGGATCTTAATTCATACATGTTTTATAATAAAACTTCAGTCTCATCTTCTATAAGAAGCAGCTTTTTTTTTTTTTTTTAATTTAAATATGAAGTAATTTAAGGGAAAGAAAAACAATGACGGAAGATGCCACTCAGTTTATTGAACAAACACTTTTTGTAGGTAGCATCATTCAGGAAAGTACTTAATCCCGTTTTACATAAAAAGTGACACTTTGCACCAAGTGACTAATTTGAGCATATTAAGGATGACATGTTTATAAATAATGGAATTGTCAATAGGTCTGTGCTGAACTATGGAGATGCCAAAAGTACTGAGACTTCTAGAAGTAAATTCATTTTTATATCTAGCATGTAATCAACTTAGCTGTCACTTCAGATAGGAAACTTATTCTCTGGAGCAAATAAAAGATGGAAATCTTGAGATGACAAATTAATGGAATAGCTGTTGTCAAGTTAAAGCTAATAATGCAAAGTAATCAGCCTTCATTTCTATATGAAATTATTGCATTATCAGTACAGCATGGCTTTACAAGTCAGGTCTTTGACAGTTTCAAATTATTTCTAAATGAGTTATATCAAGATTAACCACACAGAGCCTAAATTACAGCTTTCACCTATGGTTTGTACATAGTATTGTTTGAAGAACAGTATTTAAGCTTAGCTTTTTTAAAATAGAAATACTTAGGATGAAAAAATGGTGTCATCTGATTTAAACTTTCCTGTGGTTCTCAGAAACCTTTTGGCAAATCCCTTCAACTGCAACTGCCATCTGGCGTGGCTTGGAGACTGGCTAAGGAAGAAACGTATTGTGACGGGGAACCCTCGGTGCCAGAAACCCTACTTCCTCAAAGAGATTCCCATCCAGGATGTAGCAATTCAGGATTTCACATGCGATGATGGTAAGAAAATTAATATTTTAACTTTTTATGGTTTCAGCTTTCATATGTACATCTCATGATTCCCATAGATCCCAAAATGTTATGCTTAAATAACTTCATCTGTGTTTCATGCTGTTTCTACATCGGTTTATAAATCTTCCACCCATTTTTGGCTGATAAGCAGACACATGGCTATTGTATATATGCTGTCAAAATTTTTCTTGCCTGTGTTCAGTACTGTAAGTCATAATTTAGAGATAACATATAAATTAAATAAATTGATCAAATGTTGCAGTTCAGATGAGATCATTTTCAACTGCTGATGCTTGCATCAAGTGCTTTCAGGATACTTGATCAGATAGCATTCCATTTTGCTTAGTTTGTGACTTCCACAACACTTTAAAAAAGTGGCTGCTATCTTACATCTCCCACACATGCTTCCATTAACTTGCATTATTAGTTTGTCAATTTTCAAGGCCATAACTTTTCTTTAAAAAGACTGTTTATTTTTAATAATTTGCTAATTTTGAAAATCAACATATATTTTCCTTTATTACTTTTAATTTTAAGTTTTGTTCTTTCTTTAATGATTTTTTTTCCATATAATAGCATTTTTACCTAGTAAAACAAAATTGTACTAAATGAAGCATCACTTGAAATGTAAATTCTTGGACCAATGGTTTACAGAGGAGACGATGTTTTCCTTACCTAGAGATATCATCATGTAGAAATAACATGTTTGCTTATAAGAATTTCAGGTGGGATATTATTGCTAATACTGAAGTGATATTTGTATAGCAAGCTTTGCATGTTTGTTTTTATTAACCAGGAAATGATGACAATAGCTGCTCTCCACTGTCCCGCTGTCCAGCAGAATGTACTTGTCTAGACACAGTAGTTCGCTGCAGCAACAAAGGCCTAAAAGCTTTGCCTAAAGGCATCCCAAAAGATGTAACTGAACTGTAAGTGGCACACTTTTTTCCCTTTTATGAAAATCACTATCAGATTTATATGGTCAGGTTCAAGAACGAGCAGAGAAGAAAATGAAGAATTGGATTCAGTATATCAGTTGAAATTTATTGTTATACCTTTTTATAGTTATAAAGACTTGCACAGTATCTTGAGAAATTTTAGATTAAGTTTGAATTAGCAATGCTTTGTAAGTCCCAAAACACTCTAAGAATGTTACTTGAAAAGCTTTAAAAATATATGTATATAAAATTGTAACCACTCTGAGAATTTATATCCCCAACACTGAACCAAGTGAACATGGATATCATGTTACAATGAGTTAAATTACGGGTAACAGTGAATCTGATTAACCTATGGTCACTGTTTAGGAAGGAATTAATGTAGTGCTTTTTCAGAAGACATAGCTGTGTATCTTACGTCACTAAAACAGTTTTATTTTTACCATTTGGTATTATATAGAAGATTCTGAAATGTCCACCACTAGCTTGGTGCTTAATAGCATACAAAAAGCTTTAGTCATTAATGAAGGGAAATTATTAAGAACTCAAATGAGCACACAGCTATATAAACCTATAACTTATTTCATTAGGTTTTGGTGGTGTTTTTTTTCTTGAATAGAAGATGACTTAATTAAATATAGTTGGCCTAATAAATACAATTTGACAATGTAAGGGCATCAATGCAATGTAAAATTAAGCAGCTAAAGAGAGGTATTTTTGGAATTGCAAGTGGAACCCTGAGTGTGACTGAAAACTCATTTGTGTACAATTTTGTATGCTTTAATTAGCATCTAAGCATGCAATTTAGCATATTTTTCAAAAGGATAATGGACATGGTTCCTGTTAGCAGTTGCATACTGATTGATTCTTCTTGTTCATTAGCATGCATAACCCTTCCAAGATGTACTCTTCATGTGTTTTATAAAATATCTTAATAGTTGCTTCATTTGAACAGGGAAGAAATTTTATCAGCCAAGTGGATACTTGTAGTACTTCAGTTCAGCTGCAGCTAAAACAATATGTCTTAATTTATCTGTCAATAGAATAATTTTCTCAGAATACTTAGTTCTTCAAAAAGTTTAAATATTGTTGGTTTCTTTTTTAATAATTAAGTATATGAACCCACACTCCATTCAGCACCATTTATGTAATGTCATTAACACAGTGTAAGCATATACCTTGTTGAGATACATATTTTGGATTTGTCTAGCATCCCTAAAATAGGCATGATCCAAGGGAGGGGAAAAAGGAAAAAAAAAAAAAAGGAAAAAGCAAGCTTTTTGATTTAGTCAAGACAAAAGTTGCCAAAGATCAAAATTAATCTGTCAGAGGCTACTCTTAATTCAAGTGTGTTCCAAGTATTTGGATGGCTAAAATTTCTTTGTATAGGGATAATGAGGGTGTAGTTTTCACTTGGGTTCCAGGAAACAAAAGTAATACCACCATAAAGCAGCATCAGCAAATCATTTGCCCCAGTTGAGAAACTAAAGACCTTTAATCTTCCTGCTGCTGTCTTCTGCATTTCAGAGAATCATATAAATATCATCTCTAAACTACTTGCGCTGGTTACATGAAGAGCCCCTCCACTTGCACTTTGTAATGACTGGCTGCACACTGGAAGCTTTTTAGGCAAAGCTTGTTACCTTCATTTGCCTGTAACTCAGATGCTGATACAGTTTGATGGCTCTGTACCTGTTAACTCTGAGGATGAACAAGTCTGTTATTGAGAATTATGAGCATCGAAGAAGAGCAAGTAATATAATACAGGAGCTGTAAACCTACAAAGAGGGGGAAAAAAAAAATCTAACTTTTCTAGTGAAGGGTAATTGACTACTGTCTTTAAGCCCTAACATGCTCCATAGGAACAGGCTTGTAGTATGTCATGCCTGATACATCATGAAATATACAGGGAGAAATTAGGGAAGGTGACCTGAACTGCAGGCATGACAAAGGAATTTGCTGCTAGAGCTGGGACTAACCCTTGCTGTTTCTACTGTAAAGGACTACCTCTGCAGTGTCAGGGTCTGTTTCAGTTTACGATAACTCAAAATCCACACTTAATGTGACTTGCAGAAGTCAGATTTACTTTTCACCTGTAGGTATGTGTGAGATGGAGATGTTAGAGACCTTATTTTGCAGAGTCTTCACGAAATAATAGAAAGTAATTTTAAGAGTTGGTTATTATTACTGTTATGTCATAATATTAATAATATTTCATACAATAACATTTGGATTTTAGGCTACAGGTCCTCCGTTGTGTCTCTAAAACCCAAAATGTGTAAGCAAGGTTTCTTATAAAACAGAAATAGTATGTATTCATTTGTTATTACTTTACTGTTGGATTCTAAGATCAGTGGATGAAGATGCTACTGTTTTAATAAAAAACGTAATGCTCTATGGTTTATTTTTCTATTTTAGTTATTTGGATGGAAATCAGTTTACACTTGTTCCAAAAGAGCTTTCCAACTACAAGCATTTAACACTCATGTAAGTAGTTTTAGAGCAACATTCTCTACTGGAATTAAAAAAACAAACAAACAAACAAACAAACAAAAGCAAATACTATTATACCTGGTTTTAGTTATAAGAAAAAAAAAAACATAAAATGTATCTTTTAGCAAATATCCAACCACATTTTATGCAGAGGTTATTTTATTCTACTTATCACATCCTACATATAATCTACTCAGTCACATTTTATAAACAGGGTATTTCATTCCAGTGATTACATCACAAAGTAAATAATCAGAAATTATAGTTAACCTGAAGAGACATGTAAAATCTTACAAAGTTAGGATAATTAGAGTAAGTTGTTAGAGTAATACAGAATTTTCTTACGCAGCCCCATAAAGGCACTAGAATTATTTCATTTGAAAAAGAAACATTCTGTGATATGCTTCACTCCGTGGTATGCTTCACATAGGAACAGCACATAGAGCTGTTGTAACACTTGAATGTAACCCCTTTATTTCTCCCACAATATATAGTTTAATGACTCAAGAAGAGAGCTTTTCTAGAATGCCTTACTCCCAACTCTATTGCTGACTCACTCTGTGATTTGAGGCAAATCATTAGCTGCTCTAAAATTTATTACCTCTACTTCATGAACTATTTGAATATGGTTTTGTACCTTGTAAGAGTACAGCGAGAGAAATAGAAAGACTGTTGATGTAAATGGTTGTAATTCCATGGCCTTTCTTAGGACTATAAAAATTTATACCAGCTGATGTCGAACTGTGTAATACTCTGAAAGCAGTTTGTGGTTTCCTCATAATCAGAATAAAAAGTGGAGGGATGTAACAAAATCCCTTAAATTTCTTCTTGACTGGGTTTAGAGCTTTGCTGCAAAAATTTAAAATGGTTTGGCATTTAGAAACAAGAACTTGATTTCCTTTATTTACCTTATGCTAGACAAAAGTGGTCATGGTCACAAATTTAGAAAAAACATGTTTCCAACACTTTTTATATTTTGCAAACAATATCAGGAAAAAAAACCCTTGCAATATTCTCAAATGTATACAGCATAGCACCTATAGCAAATCTTTGTGGCTTGTTTGGGGAAGTTATACAAGATCTAACTCACAGCACACAATAAATACAAACTTTGGAACCTCAGTACAAGAAGCAAACATATAGGTTGGACTGTGCGCAGTAAAGGCATCAGGAGAGACTGGATGTATATCTAGAGATTAGGTTAATTAGAGTCATAGTGACCAGGCTTCCATCACAAAGATTTGGTACTCATGGTCTGTTTTTGTCAAACACAGACAGAAGTCACATAACTTTACCTTCTAGTCAGAAAATACATACAATCTAGCAGACAAATGTTATAGAATAAATTATCAGTGAACAGTAAATAAAATGCAAGTAAGATGAGTATTAACTGTCTCTATTTATTAGACCTGTGGGTCATGATATTGTAGTCTCTTCTGAATGTATCCTCATACTGCTGTTAGGAAGTTGAGAATGTTCCCAACTGCGTGTGAGAAACCAAAACACTATGCATAGTTCTTTTGTGGCCAAACAAGGAATTACGTATTAGTCTCCTGAGTTCCAGATTAACAAGGAAAATTGTTTACTTCAAACTTTTTCTTTCTTTTTTGAATAGATTGCTCTGTTATATTTGCCTAATATGTTTATTATGAGTCAGTTGTCTTACATGCTTTCATAAAATTTCAAGTGGAGAAAAACATATATTGCGTAACTATTCAACAGTACTCTTAAAATATCAAAGTCTCCTCAGAAAGAAATGCTGTATTTCTCCACAAAATACAGTAAACTATAACAAAATAGTCAACATGAAATAAAAATTAGAGCACAATGTGAGCATAAAGAACAAGCAATATTCACATTTCATACAGCTTCTTCAAAGCTTCTTTGAAGCTACTATCTTTGAAGCTACCAGCATACCACTCCAGCTTCCATCATACTCATACTTAAAATTTTATTCATTAGAATATTGAACAACAAGAGAGATGTTAAGGCTTTCTCTATAAATCTTAGATAGTGTTCTTTAAAATAATAGCACTGTGCTTTGATGTCTTCAGCATATAAGTGTTAAGTAGAGTATTAGATGATATTTACTCAGGTGTCATTAGGGACATAACTAGAATGATTTCCACTTTAAAACATCACTTTCATTTCTATACTTGGGTTCACGTGGGATTGCATTATTAACTCAGTAGCATGATGGACATTGCTGTTGTATAAGAATGCATTGCGCTGCTTTTTTATCTGTGTTGAAATGAAAATGCTTTTCATTGATCAAGCTAAACACTTGCTAGGCTTGTATATGGCATGTGAAAATAAAAATACGCGCTGCTTTAAATATTGATACCAATGATGGTACTACTTCTACTAATAAAAATAATGTGTCTGTCAGTGTTTCAGGACTGGGGCAGTCATTTTAAGGTCTGAATTTCTGAATTTATTTTTTATAGAGATTTAAGTAACAACAGAATCAGCACTCTTTCTAATCAGAGCTTCAGCAACATGACTCAGCTGCTCACCTTGTAAGTTTAAACATGTAACAGTGTCTCTTTCAAAGCATTACAGTGTTGTTTTTTTCCTTGGAAAGAAAGGGCATTTAGTTGATATTAAAGCTTGCTTGTTATGGAGGCTGTAAAATAACTTGTTTCCTAACTAGCAATGTGTGCAAAAGCTGGTTTTGGTCATGCTCTGCATTGTTTAGTGAACGGCTCATACATATGATGACAAGTTTTTATATATTTTCAGAATTCTTAGTTACAACCGCCTGAGATGTATCCCTGCACGGACTTTCGATGGGTTGAAATCACTTCGGTTGTTGTAAGTATCATTTTTTTAACACTGCTATTTTCCAGAATTTTTATTTATGTGCAGCAGATAGCAAATCTATAGAGAGTAACTAGATTTTAAAACCTACCAAGTATTTGAGAAGTGATAATTACGTGGCCTTAAAAATCTGTGTGGCTTCATTCTGGGGAATTATACTCTCTGCACAAGAAGTTATGTAACTCTGGACAAGTTTCTATATGCAGACATAAGCTTTTTACTTTTGTGCTTTTTAATCATGGCTGCATTTCTTTTTTTGTGTTTTTTCCTTGTTATAAGCATTGAAGTCTAACAAAAATGCCATATACATAAGTTTATATGAGGGGGGTTGCAGTTAAATTTTGAGTATTTTTATTCCAACAATAAACTTCTTTCTTTCTTTCTTGTTTCATCTAATACGGGAGTATTTCCAAAACCGTTACATCATGGCTAATATTGAAATATCAATAAAATTACCTTTTTGTTCCAAGAAAACTTTCCATTTTAATACTAGGAAAAACATGTTTGAAAGGGCACAAAAAGGGACAAAGGAAAATAAAGAACAGTCAGTCTAGTTTACAGCTTCAGTTTCTCATTAAGAAAAAAACCTGCAAAAATTCTTTCTCAGAAGTCCCCAGCAGAACATGTAATTTTTGCATCCATTTGTGTAGTTCATAACCATGTAACAGCTTAGCTGGATTAAATCTCAAGCATGGCATTATTTAAGTGTGCTCAAAAAACTTCAGTTATTTTATATAAATATGGATAATTTCAAGAACCATGATTCTATATGTGTTATATACACATATAACTGAAGGAATTTATAGAAAAGGAAAGATATTTTTCTTCAGATTTGCTACAGAATAGATAACACTAGTCTGATATTGATGCTTAATAAGGTCTTTAGTTCTTTACTATCAAATTAGGGCAACATCCCTAATACTTATATTAACAGAGAGTCAATGCCTGTATTTTCCATGAATCTATGAAAGATTAAAAGAAAGTATGAACATAATTAATTGGAATTTCAGAGAATTGCTGAAAAAGTCAGAAATAATAACTCTTCTGCTATCCCTAAATCCAATCAGTACTTTGCAGAAGTATGCTTACTTTTACCAACCTTTATTCTTTCAATTGTAAGAGTCATATTATTATAATTTCTTATGAAAATTCAGAGTAAAAAAATCGAATTGTGAGTAGGCCTTCTGTTAGAGCATAAAAAACCCCAACCCACAGCAGCTGGAAACACTGAGGAACTGAAAGGAAAAAAAAAAAAAAAAAAGTGAAAAGCTGAAAGCTGTTTACAGAGGATGAAATTTGCAATGTTAACCTGCTGACTTTTATGCACATATATATTTATTATTCTGTTTATTTTCTTTTTAAGGTCTTTACATGGCAATGATATTTCTGTTGTTCCTGAAGGAGCTTTTAATGATCTTTCAGCATTGTCACACCTGTGAGTATTCAGATGATAACTGTATTTTTTATGTGACATTTAGCAAATTTCATATGTTTGAACAAAGACAAAATAAAAGGCCTGCTCTGGAACAAGCTCATGCATCAGCACAGGCTGGAGACTGGCCAGTTTGCTAGCATCTCATCAGAAAAATCCTGGGCCTCCTGGTGAGCAGCAAATTGAACCTGTCTGCCATGTGCCCTTATGGCAATGAAGGCTAAAGATGCTCTGAGCTGAATTAGAAAGTGAACAGACAGGTGACTGAGGTGAATGGTTCTTCCCTTCTGCTTGGTGCTTCTGAGGCCACATCTGGAATATGTGTTCGGTTTCTCCAGTACAAAGCAGGTATGTATGAACCAGAGCAAATCCAGGATAATGGCAAGATCCTGAGGGTATCATATGAGCTGTGAGGAGAGGCTGAAGGAACTGTCCTGATTTAGCCTGGAGGAAGAGATGCCAAGGAGGGACCTAATATTCTTTAAGCCTCTAAGGATATTACAACAGTGATGGAGACAGATTTTTGTCCAAGGTGCACAGTGAAGAATAAGAGTTAATAATAGTCACAAGCTGCTACAAGGGAAGTTTGATGGAACATAAGGGAAAATTCTTCACTGTGAGGGTGGATCAGCTTTGGAAAAGTTTGCCCAAAGCAGCAGAAGAATCTCCACCCCTGGAGATTTTCAGAGCTCAGCTGGACACAGCCCTGAGCAACCCTGCTATGACTTTCGAGTGATCCGTGCTTTGTGCAGGAGGTGAGACCAGATGACCTTCAGAGTTCCTTAAATTAGTCTATAATTCTGTATCAGTGTCTGATAAGTTGACATTAAATACATGGCATCTGATTTCAGAACATCATTTGAGGCAATACTTTTCCTGTTTGTCATTTTCAGTAGGAACCTAGATTAGAACAAGTAACCTATCTGTAAACCTTGTTGTGTTTATGGACAGTTATTAAATCTTTGCTTGCACTGGAGGAGTAAATTGACTAGTTCCTTTAGATATATCTGGTTTTTATGTTTCTGACCAGCTGCAGTTATTAAAAACTTAATTATGTGTTTCTAGTTCAGTATTGGACATTTAATTTTCCATTTCTCAGAAATTTGATGACACTGATTAATCTTTAATTCATTGATAATTCGTTCAAACACTACTATTAAACTGTCTTATCTGCATGAAATAATCAGTAAAATTTGCATAGATTTGGTTGTTGTTGCTGTTATTTTGTTTTTTCTTAATGTCTACCAGTTACCCTTGCTAACATTCTGCTTTTAGCAGAGCAGTTTTGTTATCTCGGTTCAGCCTAACATTCACTTTTGCAAATAGGGAGTGGACAAATTCTAGGTGTTTCTCCTTGCATGGGAAGTTCACTATCACTAAGTCTGTTTTTTTGTTATTGCTCTGACTTAAGCTTGACTGAACAAGTATATTTCTTTTCTTATGTTCAGATGGAAGTATGTAACAATTATTAAGAGAGGGCTTCCTGCCCAGTGTGGCAGAAGAGTGTTTCAACAGCGGTAGTTTCTACCACCTTTGTTTGTCAAAGATTTTCTTGTATCTCTAGAAGACCCACTGATCCACAGTTGTGGAACACTCTGAAAAAGGGTACTGAAACATCTGGAGAACAAGGATGTTCTAATACTTCCATGTGACAGTATTTGCATATGTCAAGATCATCTGTTGAAAGTTCTATGATTACTGTATTTTTTAAAAGGAATATGAGTACATATTTATAGAATAGTACAATGCTTCTATCCTCCAAATTAACTACACAGCATATCATTGTTTTCAGAGTTTTAAAAGTATAGTTTCTAACAGAGAAAATAGACACTTAAAAAGCCTTTACAAAAACTAATTCTGAAGTTCTCTAGCTAAATTATTTTTTAACTAAAAAAAAAAAAAACCAACTGATTTAAAGAAATGGATTCGCTTTTGTAACAAGGCAATTCTTATGTAACTACCACAAAGCTAGGATAATGTAGTTTTATTTACTTACACAGCAGACACCACTTACAGAATCCTGCATATAGCTGTGAGTTCAGTGGGAGAATACCAAAGAGGAAATAATTAAATCAAATTTGGAAGCTTAGAAACAGATGGTTTTTACCAGCCTGGGAGCAATAAACTGAAAAGGAAAAATATCAGGGTGGAACTCTCTGGGGTTGCCTTGGCTCCTTCGGAAGAAATACTTTATTCTTGCTAACTTAATTTGCCAGTATCAGTTTCATTCTGCTGATGCAGCTGATCTTGGCATTTACATACCAATGGCGAAACACAGCTAGTTAGTATTAGCTCTCCAAAGTTCACACATAATGCAGCTAAGAATAGCTAGGTTTCTGGACCAAGTTTACTGCTAAAACTATCACTTCTTAATTTAGAACCCAAATCCAGACACTTTATGCCCTAACAGTCAATTTTGTGGAACGAGGGCAGGTTTGTGGTTAGAAGGGGTTTTTTGCCAACCTGTTTTCTGGCTTCTCTTTTTAAAAGCAGCCATTTAAAACTTTACTCCATTTTTGTTTGTCTGTTTTCCATAGGGCTATTGGAGCAAATCCTCTTTATTGTGATTGTAACATGCAGTGGCTGTCTGACTGGGTAAAATCAGAATACAAAGAACCTGGTATTGCACGTTGTGCTGGTCCTGGAGAAATGGCAGATAAACTTCTTCTCACAACTCCTTCCAAAAAATTTACTTGCCAAGGTACTGTTGTTTGTTTTTTTCCCTTTGAAGTGTCAATTTTGATTTTTTACAAATAGTTGAGCTGTTGAAATAAGAGTTCTGTGCTCTAAGTACATTATTATAATGTCTTCACTCAGACTTGTCATCATTCCTCCTCATACTTAGGGATGTAGCCATTGGTTCCATTCAGCAACTGTATTTATTTTAATGCCTATTTCTTTTCAAATAGATGGAGAAAAAAAAAAAGTCGTTGGACTTGCAGTACAGTGTTCCTCAGTACATGGATGTACATAGATACTTTGTACTGTCTCAGTCATGAACTACAGTTTAAACATCTACACTTCCCATAGCCATAGAATGTCCTTTTCCTGCAGACTAACAGTAAAAACTGTAAATACGTCCATAATCCTTGCAGCCTGCAATTAATTGCATCAATGTATCCATAATGTTTCCTCTGATATTTCAGAAGAAAGCAGAAAAAAGCCACCGCCCCCCAAAAAAAAACAACAACAACAAAAAAAAAAAAACAAAAAAACCCCAAAGCAAAACAAAACAAAACAAACAAACAAACAAAAAGAAAAAAAAAAAAAAACCCAAAACATAAATAAAAAGATGTGATTACCTCTGTAGAGGTCTCATTCTGAATTGTTGATATAAGGGGAAGTTTCTTAGAGTTTGGACCAAGAGTATTTATTTCCATGTTGGTACCAATATTGCTGGCATTTATACCACAACTTATATTATTATCTGTTCATTTCTAGGTTCTCTTCCTGAACCTTTTTTTGTTACAAAAGTACATTTTTTACTCATATGGAGAAAGAACTTGGTTTGTTTTACTGTTTAACCTTCCTCTATTCCATCCATTTCTCCCTTCTTAAATATTTTGAAAACAAAAACTTCTGCTGTAGCTTAATTTTCCATGGTCCTGATTTAGAAACATTGAAATCCCAACTGGGGAAAAAAAAAAAACAAACAACAAAACCAAACCAAACAAAAACAACCAACCAAATTTATGTATGCTTATACTTGTAAGCCATTACTAAGTTTATAGTTATTTCTGAGGCATCAGATAAATATGATCCTAAGTCTTGTAGAAGTAACTTATTCTCACAGTCTAGGTAATCTTCAAACTCTTTTGACTTACTCATCTGTTAACGTATCTTCAAAGTGAGTTTAATCCCTTTGTAATTTCTTCCTTTAAAAAGCAATGGGACATTGGTGGAGTTTGTCTCATCCAAAGTTGTTCTTTACTGCATCTTCATCCTATTTAGTCTTCTCTCCTTAAGTTTTCTGTCAAAAAGCTTTTTTGCAGACAAAAACCACGGAACCTATTTTGTTGCTTGTGGTGTCAGTGAATTGTCTCTCTTTCCAAATCCATCTTGCAACTTTTCAACAGTCTGTCTCTGAGGTCATGCCAGTATTCATTGCATATGACACTCATCTGCTGCAAAGTCTCTTAGTCTGATTTTAGATAGGACATTCGCTCGCCAATCTGACAGTTTTCTCTACAAGCATCCACTGAACATTACTGCAGATATACTCTTACTGCACACTGTTTTGGGGATATAAAGGATAAAATATTATTTATATTTGCATGGACGTGAAGGACCTGGTTACTTTCCAGCTCTCAGTTTTTAAAACTGTATCACCCCTGCCTACAATCATTGTAATGTTTCTGTCAGACAATCCAGAAAGTATATCTTACTCCCTCTTGCCCATCAGAAAATATCCTTTATATTATTATGCAGGGTAAGAACTGTATTTGTTTCACTTCCAAGAGTGGAGATCTGGTATTATGGATACCTTTGAGAGAAAATAATTTTCCTGCCACAGTCCTATGAAGATGCTCATAATTACAGATTGCAAATCAGCAGCTTTTCAATGACATGATGGCCCTGTAAGACATTATGTGTCTGTAACTCAAAGATAAGTAATTTTATCTTTTGCTTAAAAATGAACTGCTGAATAGAAATTAGGAAGATGCTTTATTCCCATTAGATCAAAATTTTAGGCTATGAGTGAAAGGACTGGTTTTGGAATACCTGTTGATGGTCTGCTATTATGTGTATATTTACAGGAAAATAGTAGTGTGTAATTCCCTCTTATCAGTATCTCTGAATTCAATTGAAAGTGAAATGGGTGCTTGAATTTTACCTACATATTGAATAATTCCCAGTGAAAATTAGCATTTCAAAATGAAATCCTATCTCAGTTGTAAAGCTCCATGAGATCACTGTACTTTACTCTAATTTTATTAATTCTTTTGCTCCAGGAATCATCCCTTAGTATTTTCTTCTTTCAGTTGTTTTTCTAAGTTTATGGGTGTTTCTTTTTTTCATATGGCCTCTAACAGATTCTCAATCTTTTACCCCTTTACCATCCATGCCCTGCTTCTAGAGATTCCAGGGCCTTGTGGTTTTCTGATACCAGGTAAGGTTATATGTAGATCTGGAATGGGCGATCTGATTAAGAACGGACCTTCTGACCTTCCTATTGTGTACCTCAAGCAGTCTTCTTTCCTAAGACATGCATGTTTACTGTTTGTTTTCCCCTTTGATGAATTTACAGCTGACTCTTCATGATATATCATTTAACATATTGTATAAGCATTGTATTTAAAAGCCCGGGTTTCAGGTCTGAAAATTATCCAACTGAAATGATTGGTTACACTGCATTGTACTAAAATCAGTCACTTCAGCAGCAGCTTTAGTATAAGACAATCAGTGTAGATACTAATTTTGAGGCCAGATGCAAGAGAGGAGTTATAAAATGTCAGAGCTCAAAGGTTTTATTGCAGCAGGTTTCTCTAGAAGTTGATTTTGAGAGGGTTTGGTGATATTTTTCTTCAAAAATGTTAGATAGCTACACACATGTGTCTATGTCAATAAAATACTGTTAGTTTTTCAGTTTACAAAAGAATACTTCTTATTTTTTCTTCTATTTTAAGGATTTTTTTTTCAATTAGGGCTTATTCAAGAAAATATATGTCTACAATATGAAAAACTAAACAATAGGTTGTGAACCCAATTCTTTCTCACATACAAGTCTTAACACATGCAAGTAGAAGAGGAAAGGAATTGGTATAGTGCAAATGAAAATAGGTTCCAGAATTGCCTTTTCATTAGACTTCAGTAAAAATTTCTGAAATGTTTCCATTTTTTGAACTTACAACTGAAGAATGATAAATCAGAATGTTAATTCTTACTGGATACTACATATATAATAGTTTGAAATAAACTCTTACAGCACAAATCAGATACAGTGTTGTTTGCTATCTCGTTGAGCCTTAGGTTCTCATTTTCTGGCTCTGTTTTGGAAGTGAAATTTAGATTGCTAATCCATTTGGGAGAATAACCTTACTTACTGAATGTTTTTTACTTCTTGCCAAATAATTAGCATTTTATTGCATGAGAAATAAAAAAGAGGATATGATGTTCAGAATAAACAGTTGAGTCAAGGAGGCATAGACTTCCAGGCTACAGCACAGTGTTACAATTGTTAAAGTATGTGCCTCTTGCACCGTATTTTTTTCACAGAACCTCTTAATGTACTCTAGCAATAATCAGCAGTATCCTAGAGTACACAGGCAGGACTTTCTAGATGTTAATTCTATGGTGTTTGTTTCAACTCTTCTACCTCTGCTGTTTGCTGGTCTAACAGAAACTTTAAACAGGTAAAGATTTCTCTTTCAAAATAAGATAATGAAGACAAGAATAGTCAATGATCCATACAGACTGTGGCTTTAGCAATAAACATCACAGATTACTATGTCCATCCCTTTGATTTGCTTGCAATCTGTGACAGAAGGATACCAGCAACTGCAGATTTAAAAAAAAAATAAAATTTTTAATTTCAACCTCTCCTTGTCCAGCAGCCCCTACTGCATCCCTATAATCACATGGCTTCCTTCCATGACAGCTCCTTTACAATCACTAATCAGAGATTAATTTTGTAAAGAAAAATAAGAAATTTAAGAAATCTGTTTTAAAAAACCCCAAACCCCATATTTCAGTAAGAGTGCCCTGTTAGCTTGGAAAATTTAACAGTCTTGCTCATTTTGAGTAAAACTTGTTATGGAGCAATCAGGCAGTTCCACCAGTGGCTCACAGGAGTCTGTGTTTTGTGTCTGGTTAGAAAAAATCACTTGTTATTCCTTAAAATGTACAAATCACCTGTAGATAAATGATTTTTTTTTTTTTTTTTCCCCATGGGTGAAATCTGAAATCAAGTTGGCAGTAATGTCATCAGGCAGTAGAGCTGGAGATAGTGGAGAATGTATGCTCATTCTCTTAATAGGCATTTGGCCAAGTCACCCATTTTCTCTACAGTAATCAAACCTTTCTCTATCACAAAATGTATGAAAATTAATCATTTTTTATACACAAGTGATTTCTATTTTTTAACAAATAACCCGTGATTTCTTTAGTATTTTGACAACAAAATTTAAAAATTGGAGACTCCTAACTTGAAAATTCACCAAAAAAGGCTGTATTAAAATGTATTAAAACGACAAGGGGAAAAAAAATCTACAAAATATTTACATAATAAGGTTAAGATTTATGTAGCCAAAGCTCTGTCTGACTCTGAAACTTAAGATTTTGTCAATATTCATTTCTGAATACTGCCATTGTAATCATTAATATAAGAAACTATACTGCAAGTATGGATTGCAGTGGATTTGCACATAGATTCAAGGTACAGTTTGCATTATTTGTGGGCTCAGCTAATGCCATAATGTGCAGAACTGTGGCTGACTCCATAAGGAAGCAAGGCACAATATAGAGCTTTTTACAGTGAGATAGCTTGGACAATGCAATTTACATTACAGTTCACAGATTTTTAACCAATTTACAGGTAATTTTACAGGTTCATTTTGCCATCTCTGTGATCCTGCAGATAAAAAATAAATTAGAACAGAAATACATAAAAAAATAGCTTTCTCAGTAACATTGTCAGGGGAAGGATTGCAGACTGTGATAGCCCTTTTCCTCACAGGCAGTTTTTACCCCCTTTAAAGAGACAAAAGCTGAAATTGTATTCTTCATTTTGTTAATACAAAGGGAAGGTAATTGTCATGGATCAAAACAGGGATACGGATATGGGAATCACTTTAGGGTCAGCTTCTTTTTTAAAAAAAAAAAAAGTTATAAGTAAACCAAAAAAACAACACCAGATTTATTTGGTCTTGTCAAAAGTTTTAAGGACAGTCCAGGATTCCGTTCATACAGAAACACAACAAAGTCTGAAGTACAAATTTCATTTTAAAATTTAAAGCAACGTGGCAGATATATCCTGTCAAACAGAAATTAATAGTTGGTTGTTTATGACTCTCCAATTTGTATTTTTAAGGGCCTGTGGATGTTAATATTCTTGCTAAATGTAATCCCTGTTTATCAAATCCATGTAAAAATGATGGAACTTGCAACAATGATCCTGTTGACTTCTACAGATGTACTTGCCCATATGGTTTCAAGGTAGGTACTGAATGAAGAGGAAAAAGCTTACTGAAATGTAAGCTTCTCCTTAACCACCTTCAGGTTCTGTTTGGCTCCCTTCCATTAGTGTCTGTACTTTGTTCTTAAATTATAATTGTTGTTCCCTGCATAGGGTCAAGACTGTGATATTCCCATTCATGCTTGCATTAGTAACCCGTGCCACCATGGTGGAACTTGTCATTTGAAAGAAGAAGAAAAGGATGGTTTCTGGTAGGTTGTTTTTATTTGTAATAACAAAATGGAAAACTACTGAGTTTTAAATGCTGAAATAATTTCAGTGTTAATCATTGGGTTCTCTGTGTTTGCTGGTAAGTGCACCACAAAGGCAGATTTTCAGTGCTTCTGATGTTTTCAGAATGTGTTGCTGTCCTTGGAAAGCTTCTAAAGCTTTGCAACTGTTAAAAACAGTAACAAATGACTGTGATTAGTTGAGGCATATCAGGTCAAGACAACATAGTATTGACTCCATTATGCTAATTAATAGCTAGCTAGATCCCTGCTGAAAAAAATCTCACAATTCATCTGTTGTCATGTGTATTACTTCAACAGACAGCATGTAAATGATAAAATGTAAATCCCAGTGAAACAGAAAATTAATGATTCATTTGGAACTCACTATGCCAGCAGATAAACATGCTGTGAGCATTTTTAATCTTGAGTTATTTAATCACACAGTACAATTACTCCAGATGTACTTCATGAATTATGAAATAAAGTTCTTCAGTATTCTTATGTGAAATTATTAGTCATTTAATAATCTGCACCTCAAGCTTGTTAGAAATGACACTTCAAAAAGATACAATTCATTATCCTGCAATTCATTATGATATTATTCTTATTTTTAATCTAAATTATGCCCAAGGATTAAATAGTTTTCTATTAAAAATTAAGTTTATACATCTTAATACTATGCCTCTAGAATTTAAAGTGACATAGTCATGTCTCAGAATCTGACATTTTTCATTTATTTGTTTAAACACTACATATTTTGAAAATCAAAGCAATCTTATAATGAAAGCTGCAGCAATTAAAGATGGTGCATATTACATGAAAATGTATGTGTAGTCATGTTCAAGTGATCTTTTACATTTACTATCCATTTTGATGTACTTCTTTTGTATAAACAAAAGCAAAAAAAAAAAAATCACTGCTTTGAAAAGTTTATACAGGCTTTGGGTTTATATATTGATGCATGTATTGTGCATGGAACATTAAGCAGAGCTTTATATTGTTGCATTTGACTGAATGATAGTGAAATACTACTATTACATACCAATCCCTGATTCCAGAGTCTTCCATGTGTTTAACTTTAAAAATCCGAAAGGATCACTTTTCATAAGAAATACAATCCAATCTTATAATATAAAGGTAGCACACTTTTCAAAAGGAATCTTCAGTGAAGGCATGAATTTAGAAACCTTTTTTTCTCTAATTTGAATATGAAAATTTGAAAAATATTTTGGTAATATTTATTACATGTTTTCTTACATTCTATCAACCATGTTGTATGGGATAGGGATTATGAATTATTGTACATGACAAATTATTGTACATATAATTACAGAACTTCTTGTCTGGTCTACCCAGCTAAAATGTCAATGTGGTTAGTTTTGTTTTCTGTACTACAGGTGCACTTGTGCAGATGGATTTGAAGGTGAAAACTGTGAAGTAAATGTTGATGACTGTGAAGACAATGACTGTGAAAATAACTCTACTTGCGTGGATGGAATTAATAACTATACTTGCCTTTGTCCACCTGAATATACAGGTAGGAGTATAAGGGAAAGTACAGGTAATTCAAGAATTCCTTGCAGAACAGTAATATTTTTCAGTTTGTAGGTGAATTAGTAGTTACTCTGCAATTGACTGAAAGCCAGGTTTCCCTCTGTAATTTTCTTCTATATGGTTTGTAGCCAAAGGTAGACTTAATGCCCACTCATTAATTCCTTTGTTAGGTTTGAAATTACAGCGTTGTGATATTTAAAAGATCATTCAAAATGTGTCCCTCCCTACTGTTTACCTAACCTAGACACCCTAATGAAGAACCTCTGTAGCTGTTGAAATCTGAAAATATTCTGCTTTTATACTGTATACCTCATGTTACTTAGAGGGCAGAAAGTATCTGTCTCTGCCAGTAGGGAATTGAATTTGTCACCCCCGGATGCTGTGGATGCTGTCCTGCCCTCCAGTAGAAACTTTAAAGCAGTGTGATTCTTTCTGTTCTAGCACAAAAAAAAAACCAAAACAAAACAAAACAAACACACACATAAAACCAAAACCAAAACCAACCAAGCACCACAAGGAATAACTAAAGAGTGTCTAATTATTTGCTTCTATCAGTTGGCAACCAGGGCAAAGCATTCCCCTCTCTTGGAGACAGAGAGTCTCTTGCTTGCTCTCATTCTCTCTGTGGGAATGGAGGATAGTTAGAACAGCAACACTGGAGAACAAGAAGTTTACATGGATCTGGTTTAGAGTTTTTCTACCTAGACAGATCTAATTTCTGTCAGCTAATTGACCACTAGGAGAACACAGAGCTTAAATTCACAAAACCGTGATTTGAAATGCATAAAAAAGGTACGTAAAGTCCACCATAACTTGGGGATTATATCAGTTATCCTAACTTTACTGTAATCAATCAATCAAATCTGAACTATGGAAGACTAGGAGGAGAGGTGAACTCCTGAATTAATTTCATTTTTAAAAACACATCTAACTCCTTTTTATTCTAAAGTATTTCCATCATTAGTTCTACAACCTACTGGATTGCTCAGATGTTTTAGGGTATTCACATTTAAAGTCAATAGTTAAATCTTGGAAGCCCACAGTGAGTGAAGATCATGGAACACAAGTGTAAGAAATAAACCTTCATAATCTAATACATGTATTCTTCCAGTATTTATGCTGGGTAAATGTTTGGTAGAGATTTCCTCACACAGAATACCTAGAGCATATACAATACCTACAGTAATACCAGTTAAAAGTATAAGTAGCCAGAGTAAGGTATTTAATAAGTGGATGGTCCACATCTGGAAGAATAGACAAAATCTGCTGAGACAAAATACTGTTTTGCCAAGTACTGATACCTTAATGCCTGAAAGCAATTGACAGCTTAAGCCTTAGAAACAAATAACAGGTAACAGCATTACTTAAGTAGAGATAAGATATTACATAAGTGGAGATAGGTGTTTGCTATTTCCCCTGTAACTAATATTTAAGGTACATGTGAATCAAGCTTCAGATCACCTGGGTTCAGTTGTTATCTCCTTTAAAAATAGGATCGGATAGTCTACTGCGTAGGCTGGAAGAAAGGAAACCAAAGTCAAATCAGTCCAGCGTTCCTGTTCAGTGGCTTCATGCTAAGAGGTTTTATATATCTATTAGGTAGAGGACAATCCATTTGCAAGGCATGCCTCCTTTGCAGCTTTGCAGGTGTTTTTACCTGTGCTGTTCATTTCTTCATTTTCGACATTGCTCTAGGTGCACTTCACTGCTAGAGTCAATAGCTTGCTGTATTCACAGGACGACATGGGAAGCACTGTTTTGTATTAGACATCCATGGAGTGGACACAAAGGCTTGTTTATATGTGCTGGCCTGAAACACTAAGTGTTCCTGCTGCATTTCTGTAGTATGGTCATTGAAACGTATATTTTACATTTACATTTGAAACACCAATTGTAGCATTTGTCTATACATCTGTATGGTTAGAGCAAAAAGGACAGCATAAACATTGGTAACATTTTTGATGTTTGTATGGTAGTTGTGCTTCTTTAGTCAAAATACAAGCAATTGTATTTTTAATTGGATTCATAATTGTGCACTGTTCTAAAAGGAAAATACTATAATCTTACATAGCAAGTGTTTTGGTTTGCTAACTCGAATTCTTTCAGAAAAGAGATTTGCTTTTACAGATACAATGCCTACTCATAATTGCTACTGAAGTCAGTAGGTCATGTGAGTAGGTGAGAATCTTCTCACCAGCACTAAAGTAAATCAAAACAATCTACTTGTAATCAGTAATTTTAGCTGCTGCTGTTTTTTAAAAATGTCAAGAATTTGCACTATCTCGTAAGACTTTTTTCGACACCTTACCAAAAACAGACACACATTTTTTTAAGCATACAACACTAGAGCCTCAGCTCATTTTATAGATAAATTGGGCAAAAGTTTTAGCAAAAGTTCAGGTTATTCATTCCACAGGTTACAGTACAGAATTATACAATATACTATCTATCTTGCAAAGCACCTGAGTATAGGACATGATATGGGAGTTCCTAAGTCATTTTTCAGATGTAAGGAGAAAATATAAAACATTGAGCTAGTCAAGGTGTCTTCACGTCTGTCATCCCTGGTCTTGCATAATTAAATAACCTTCAGAAGTGTTAAGAATTAGACTGACAGTAGTCCAGACACATCAGGATCTAGAAATGGTTGTGTTCAGAATACAAAGTAATCTTACAGTTGCCTCAAGTGTGAAGTACAAAATTATTTACAGGATTTTTTTTTTCCTTTGGCCTACAGCCTGATTTGAAAGATAAATAACAGAATCCCTGTCCAGTATGGATACAATGATTTTCATGAGGAACTTTGTAAACATTTGGATTTTGGTATCTGTTCTATCAGGTTAAAATCAGATACACATATTGCTAATGTCTTTTCTTATGAGAGGTATTTTTCACTAAATGAACTCACATACTAGCTGGACAAAATCAGACTAGCTATCAGGAAAACAGGCTATATATTCAGTTAGGTTAAAAGATTCTTAAATTCAGAGATATTTATCTTTAGCTCAGAAAGTCCCTGAGCTGGAAGTTGCTGGAGACTGAGACAGTATACATACCAGGAAAATACCATCATAGGCTTGTCCTGTCCTTTTTTAATTCCATTGGCAGTACTTCAGATTGTCTGTGTTCAAGATGTATATATGTACTGAATGTGGAAGTGCACCAGCCCAGAATAGTTTTCAGGGTGAACGGTTATCTGCAAATACACTTTACATTTCAGTAGTACAGTATAAGGAAGAAGTCAACTGAAACCTGCTGGTATGAAATGTAAATCATTCTTCTTTAAAGTTTTATTTTCATGTGGAAGGCTTGTTAGAACCTTAAATTAACTCTGAAAATGCATACAAAAACTACAAAAAATGTTGTAAAGAATGTTGCAGTGCAAAACCAGTCACTTTTTGAGTTTTCTAACATTCCCTTGAAAATCGACACTTCTCAGGTACACAGCGTTGATTTAAAAACAAACCATTAATAAAGCTTATTATGTTGTTGCTTAAGAATCAGGAATCCATTTTTCTGTGCTTTAGTTAAGTTTTACAGTTACCTCCACAGTTACAGGTGGAAAGGCAAAGAATGGTATTTGCACTATACTATGAGCTTTCTTAAGATTACAGGCTGTAACTGTGAAATGACAGTAAGCAAATGGTATCAGCAGACGCTCGGGGTGTCTGATGAAACCTTGATAAATAAAACACTGAAAATACCTCACTATGTCCTGCACTCTTTAACCTCACTATTCTCCTAACATTATCATCTCCTTTATTTTGACCTCAGTCTAGTAAACTTCAGGTCATTTTATGTACATTCTATAAATTACAGATGATCATTTCTCTTGCTCATTATCATCAGTCATTAGATCACAGATCTAATTGATCCAAAAGTAAAACCTTTCTTATGCCACCAGTGGCATGTACTTCTTATCTTTTCTGTTTGTTTTGCTCTGCTGTAGGTGAGACTCTGAAGCTTGCTTCATTTTGCTATATCAACCTCTCTGCTGCTATAGTTGTGCATTAGCTTAATGTGCTATGCTGTTGTATTACAATGTAAAAAAGTCTCTTGTCTCTTCTGTCTTTGTCACTGCAAGCTGCTAATCTGAATGAAGTGGAAAAAGGTCAGTTGTCTTTTAAGCCTATTTTCACTTACTTTGGTTTCTCACTTTCCTTTACTTAAAGGTGCATGGATTTCAGTTCTTACAAATGATCAAATAAATAGTATATAGATATAATTTAGAAAGCTCACTGCAAATCCTCAAATTAGGCACTTGGCTCTTGCTATGAATACAAATCAAATGAATGTTGTTGAAGATGCAGATCGCTGTGCAGGAGTACTTTAATACTACCTTCATTGTCTTTTTTTCAGCTATATTAAAAATTTGTGCAGCCACTGATAGGACTAACAAAAAAGTTTACATGGTGATCTTCTGAAATCTTTACTCTCATCATCTTAAAGACATACCTTGGTTCTGTTCTAATGTATTCTCTCTTTTATAGCACTGTTTTGCTTTAATTTCTTTGTTAGATTATGGTACTAGAAAACATGTTGGAAGTATAAAATGGCAGTTTTCTTGCTCATCATTTCTGTAGCCTTTTATTGCTATAAATACTTAAAGAAACTGGAATGACCACATTAAGATGAGGCTATGGTACAAGAAAGGTAATAGTGGAGAGATTTATGATGCTAACTTTTGAGTGTTCTTGATTTTTAAATTTCTTATAAGTTTCTGCCTAATACCTATCTCAGTAACAGAGATAAACCATCTTCTGTACAGTCTGATCATATATGCAATCCAAGAGCTATCATGATCAGTGATGACATATTTATAAAGTTACATATTTAGTTTTAAAAGCAAATCAATCATCTTGCCATTAATTCAATTTGATCAATATATTGTGCAGTCTATAAAGCAATGTAGTATTTCACTAGTAATAAAAATATTTTCATTAGCCGTGACATGTTGAGCAAGGCTGCAATTACACCATCTATGTTGATTAATTTTGACATATGATGAATAATTCTTACAACTTAAACTCAGAGCCTAAATTCTCTCTGTAACTAATGGGGAGAACAAGACATTTCCAGAAAGTGATTCCAACCACTGGTGTTACATGATTAAGGCTGTATTCCTTTTAGACATCTTGCTGTACTTCCATTTTATTATTACTTATCTGGATAGCAATGATAGACTCCTGTTTTTCTTTCCCCTTGACACTTCCTAAGTTATTTTTTTTACATTGTGCTGTTACTATCCCAGTATGAAATTGGTTGATTTTATAAGAGTACTTGCCCCTAGGAAAAGGGCAAGCTCAGTATAAATAAATATAAAAGTTGAGTGCTTTGTTATTCTCAGGTTTAATTTAAACAAAACAAAACAAAACCAAGCAGATTACAACAACTAGTTTGACATCTGTGATTCATGGATAAAATTTTGCTTTGTCACTGATTTCTAGTAGTGTAAATTACAGAATTTTAGGACTTCTGAAATTAAAAGAAAAACTTAATTTCTATGTTCATGAAAAATAGCTTTTCAGATGGAATGTAAAGGCAGTGTGCTACTACGAAGAGACTCAATCTCCCTTTCAAGTTGAAGCAGCTGTTACCTGTGTGTAATTAGCCTTGTGATAGTTTAAATGTCTTTAAATGTGATTTAAGGTAGAAAGGCAATGAATCCTAAACAGAACTGTAGTCACTGTAAATGTTTTACGTAAGTGTGAGCTATAGCATATTAAAATTACTGACTATATCAAGAACAAATTCCTCACAAACAAATTGTCAAACACCCAGGAGATGTGAACTAAGTTCATCCCCAAAATTAAGCATATGTGTATGTGATACATGCTTGTATTAGCTTGCCAGCTGAACATGAAAGTTATTAATGTCTATACGCTGCCTGGAGGATCAGTCAGTTTTATCATGCCAGACATCTTTCGTATTGTGACAGTAGAAGATTTTTTATTTTTTTTTAAAAAAGATAATTTTAAGTAATTATCTCAGTTTAGGGAATCCCTAGACATAGAGGGAGATTTTTTTTTTTTTAATGTGTTCCAAAACTCCATTACATGGACTCTTGCTACTATAATAAAGGAGTTGACTTACTACTTTCAATTCACTTGGTAATTGAATAAGTACCTGCCTAAAATTTAAGCATGCAAGTAATCAAATGCAAATCATACCATATCAAACTTGATAAAAAGTTTAATTATTTCATTAAATTAGGATCATAATCCTCATTCTTATAAGAACTACACGTAAGTGTTACAGCTTCTTGGAATAAAAAGAAACCTTTGCTACTCTTGCTTTTCATCACTCATTGTAAAATTTTCTGTTCCATCTAGCTTAATATACTTCAAATGACTATTTTCTATTAAAAGCTTGACTATTAAAGTAATTTTACTGCATTTTCATAAAGGGGGAATACACGTGATATCCTTGGCAAGCTGAGCTACACACTTCTAGTTTGATCACTGCCATTACTGATTCTGGTGTATGATCCATCCTTTCATTTTCCTTGTTGTAAAGTTACTATTCCTTTGTTGTTGCTAAAGAACATATGTAAAACAACTAGAAATGTTAAACTAAATAATCCATATGTTACACTGAGATCCACAAGCACAGTGAATACCTGAACAGAGTTAAGCAATGGTGAAAGATAGGAACAGTCTAGCAATGAATTTGAATCTAGAATTTGACTTTAAAATTAATTTTTTTAAAAATGTTCAGATTTGTGGCTATAAACTGCGTGCTACTGTGAACTTTTTTTAATTGTGAGCAACATTATGCCTCATATTTGTATTTTCTGAATAATAAGCTCAAGACTTTAAATAATTTACATTGTCTCCTGTTCATCAAACTTAAGATTTGATAAAAATGCAGCACTTTTCTGTATATAGTATGTTAAATGGCACTGACATTTTCCAACCACTCCTACATTCCATTGACTGAGTCAGAAGTAATTAAACAGAGATTTCCAGTCAAAGGCCCAGATAATAATACCTGATTGATAAAACATAAATATATCAGAAGTTGACTCACAATATATCACATCCAAGCTCAGAAGCTGGAATGGACATATATGTACACATATAAAATCATGCTATTCTAGCAATTACTAGTAAGTCAGTAATACATACTTGTTATTTTAGCTTTGGAACGGCAAATAAGACTTCTAGCAAAAATCTGATTTTGATAATTAAAAATGGCCATTCTTTTGTATTCTGTCTCTAGTTTTTATTCTAATATCATACTCAGCTTTGATAATACTCTAGTGATTTTAAGCTTGTTTTGCAGTAAGCTTGCCTGGAATTAGCAGTGTGCTGTTATATTCAGAAGGCCATGTCCATTTGTGTTACAGCTCTCCTCTTCATTCAGAAATATAGTGGCTGACATTGCTTTATTTAACTGTATTTTGAATTTATTGCCCAATTATTCAAAATAACAGTGATGTAAATCCTTTTTCACCTCATTGCATTGTTCCTCATTATTTGTTGTACTACATGTCATTATATACTGGAAAATCCAGAGTTAAGTGTCTGGTCAGCCTTGAGAAAAGAAGGCTTAGGGGAGCCTTTATCACCATGTTCCAGTATTTAAAGGGTGGCTACAAATAAGATGAAGACTCCCTTTTTACAAGGAGTCACATGGAAAAGTTGAGGAGTGATGGGTACAAGTTATTCCTGGGGAGATTCCGAGCAGACATGAGGAAAATTTTGTAATGAGGACAATCAGCCATTGGAAATAATCTCCCCAGGGAAGTGGTGGATTCCCCAACACTGGACACTTTTAAGACTCAGCTGGACAGGGTGCTGGGCCATCTTGTCTAGACTGTGCTTTTCCCAAGAAAGGTTGGACTAGATGATCCTTGAGGTCCCTTCCAACCAGTATTCTGTGATTCTGTGATTAAGTTTTCCTGTGATTACAATCTCGGCAAGTTATAAGGGTGAATTAACATACACAGAGGAAACAGAAACTGACCTCTGAATATAGAAAACATAACTTTGGTAAGTTAATCAAGGATTACACACAATTCATCATCAGTGTTTAATAGTGTTGTCTGGCTGTTTACGTCTGCATCATCCTCTATATCTAGCTGAAGAACCTCAGTGAATATTCCAGTCTTGACCTTGGAGGTTTGGGTTCATTTGGACTGCACAGAGCACCACTGGTTGCAGTGCTACTCCATATCAGAACCCAGACTCCCTAGATTAATTAAGCAAGATGTCTTAAGAAAAGAGCTATTGCTGGTTCTAATTAAACTTCAAAAGTTTTCATAGGATTTTTGACACTTTATCCACTGCTTATTTTTAAAAAAACTAGTCTGTTCCTTATTTTCCTACATAGAGAAATGTTTCCATCTTTCAAAAACATTACTTAGCCAAGCTCTTACAGAAGCTTCAGTTACAATATTATTGGATGAATAAAAGAATGTACACATACATTTGTGTCAGGCTTCCTTGAATTGAGTCATTTGTTTCACAGTTTTTTTCATTATTTTGAAGTATATTTTTTAAAACATTCTATTATGCTTCCAAAATCAGAGAATGCTCTTAATATTTGCTTCCAGTAGAGCCGAGGAGCCTAACTTGGCAAATCTGTTACTTCCTTCAATGAGTGTTTCACTTTCATCACTATCTTTTCATGCAAACAAAATTACTTTCTCCTCTTCACCTTGTCTCAGTTAAATTCTGAGTAACACACTGGTTATTCAGTATGCTAGAAGAGATGTTGCTTTACCAGGAAACTATTCTTCAGTGGTTCAGACTTCATGTCATGTATTTTTACTGATCGTTTCTATTAACTTTTTCACAAAGAGTTATATTTTGGTTATGGGAATTCTCCATTCCAAATACAAACCTGTTAACAATACAGATGAAGACCTCGCACATGGGTTATTTTGGTTTGTTCTTCTGTTTATATTTTCCTTTAGAAATACAGTACCCGATGTATATATTTTGGATTAAATCTTGTATTTTCTTGGGTTTATTTTTTACTGATCCTGTGCAAGTCTATTATGAATGCTACTCTTTCTTTATAATGAAAGTTTGTATTTTACGTAAAACTGACTTCTTTGTTCATAGGGTTTTTTGGTTTTTACATTATGTCGCTACATGGACCACCATGTCTACCATGTCCTTTCCTTGATTCCTGTTTCCTTTCCTAGGCTAGTTGCTAACTGTTTAACTGAAAGCTCCCTCCAGTCATATGATTCTGACTTATTTCACAATGCATACAATTTGCAAATGCAAGGGGAAACTTTCCTTCCTTTTATGCTGTCACAGCACAAAAAGCCCTGTCTTTTAAAGACAAGTGAGTTTTTGAATCATTGTTTCTCTTCTTTTTTGGTCTGTGCACTTTTCTGCAGAGTACTCAGATCAAAGTCTGACCATAATCTGAAAAATACCTGGTGATGTTTGCAAGCTCTTTGGCTGCATTAGGTCCGGTAGTGTAACACTGATCTTATGATTTGAAGTGGACATTTTTCAGAAATGCAAGCCTGTTTCAAACTTAAACTTCCAGTTTGACCCTCAGTCTCTATGTAGGATTCACATCTATGATTTGGGAATTAAGACTTTTCAGGTGTCCCTGAGCTTCTCATGAGGTGATTCAGCTTTCAGTGTAATTCAGAAGATACTAGGGCCATCAACCTATGACTACTAAAATGCACTTTAACTAAGAAATCATGTATTTTAAAGATACCTGGATGGAGGGAAAAAAAAATTTAAAATGAACAGGCTTAGACACTACTCAGTAAAGCTGACTGTCACACAAGAAATTTCAGAGGTCTCTGCCAATAATAATCTAAGCCCTGGCCCAATTACTATCCCATAGAAAAATCAATGCCAGTTCAGTAAAGTTGACAGCAGTGGTAAAATTGCTTGCTCCTATTAGGCTAGTCCTAATTTGCCTTTTTTTTCGATATTTTGGGGATTTTCCACTGAAGTCTTACTGTGAATCTATCTAGAGACAGCAAACATTCAGCCCTGCTTGAAAGATAGGCTCAATATGTCACTTCAGAAAGTCTCTGATATGCTGTTAGAATTAATAATCTTGGGAATGTTTAGAGGTAGTTTTGTCCACGTCTTGTAAGTACTGAACAGTGATAGTTTTATTTTTTGTAATTGGAGTGTCATATATTTTGCAGTTCTGCATGTCACTTAATAAGCTATATTTTATATACCATAATAAGATATTTGTATGGGGTGTGCATATATATGCACATATAAATGTAGGCACATATATACATTTCTAAACCATGGGAATGTGTACAAACTAGGTTAAAAAACTAGTGGTTATTGCTTATTCCACTTCATGTTCCTGAAAATCTGAATTCCCTGTTCCCATATTTATATCTCACTCCTAAATGTTACTGGCTTTTAAACAGATATCAGATATTACAAGTTCTGCAAATTGACTAAATGCTATGTGAAGAATTACTTCCTCTTACATATGTATTTGTTTGAATAAAACCCTTTTAAAAGAGAAAGGGATCTGTTTTTTGTTTGATATATCATGGAATGCAAAGAATCCCTGGTATTCCAGGATAACATAACTGTCATAACAGTTGCACATTTCCAGACCAATAAGTCCATTGAGAATTTGAAGAGGCTTCAAGGACAGAATTAAAATCCTTTCTATTAGTCATCTTCAGTGGCCTGCATTTGATCTTCATTCAGTTTCCTACAGATATTGACCAAGTCACGTTGTTACTGACAGTTTTTCTGTACGTGAAGGCCATTTTCTTGTGTTAACTCAAAGCTTTATTTGGTTTTTGTAGGTGAAATGCCCTAATGGAAATTAGTAATGTGCTATCATTTTTTTATTTTTTTTTATTTTTAAATCTTTGTGTAGAACCAGTCTGGATCTTTTGGATGGCTGCAAAGTATTTGTCTAGCTGGTTTTGGTTCTCCTCTCATTTTTGAAGATTGTAGAGGTCCCTTGTCTTATCGTAGTTAGCATACATGTTTCAGATGTGGTTTTATCCAGCATAACCATCTTTGGCTCTGGGTCAGTTTTGCCTTTTTCTCTATCTTTGCTTTAAATTAGACTGTTCTTCAAATCTCTCTTTTTTTTTTTTTTTTTTTTTTTTTTTTTATATGTCCATTGTTTGAAATAAGTTCTACATACCCTAAGAGAGAAGTCCTGAAAATAATGTCTCAAGTCCTGGGTAGTCAGTATTCATATTCATGATATGCAGTTTTAAACACTAGTATGTAAGCACACTTGCTGTGGAAAGGACAAATTTCTATAGAGGATCTGTTGAACCTGTGGGAAAAGAAAAAAAAAAACAACCAAAACCAACAACAACAAAAAAGACAAATAGACCTATAGACCTTCAACCATCTCTGGTTGTTTTCAGTTTATGATGATGTCTAATTCCAGAGAAGCCCGTGTAAGTAAGAAGCAGCTTCTGTGTGGTGGTGCTAGGTACTTGGCAAGGAGGAGTGTAAAATGTCAGAAACCTTACTGCTTAATGACAGTAGTAGCTGATGAACTGATACACACACACACACACACATATGTATTGGAAGGTATTTTCATTCATATACTCTCTCCAAAGCTTCCATTCCAGTGTTATTATCCTATGCCTTTCTCCCTTTTTCCAACCTACCTGTTCCTGATTCTACCCAAATTCTGTCCCTAAATGGTCTGTCCCTCTTTCCCCATACTGTTTTCATGGTGGTGCTGTCCTTATCCTCAGTACTGTGTTAACAGTTAAAGGAAAGAGGTGAAGCCATTATATGCTATTTTAATCTCAGGCTGCCTTCCAGCAGAAACGGATTCTTCAGCTAACTACACTGCAGACTGCTACTGCACTCAGATAAGTAGAACTGAGGGTTACCACATATTCTGCCTCTTTGAAGGGAAGTTCAACTTGAGCAGTGAAATCTGCTCATCCACTGCTATCTTCTGCTCTTTTCCTCATTTTGGTGCACAGTTCCACTTATCTTTGATCACTAGCTCATGTTTTATTACTTGACAAATGACAAGGGGCAATCACGTACCTTCCTAAAAACTTAAAAATAGTTTTAGGGCCTGATAGATCTATGAGTCCCTGAATTCAACAGGTTTATTCCCGTTGATTATACATACGTTCTTCATATGGATGTTGGAATAAGTATGTCTGTCTTACAAACCAGTGATAAACTTTGTGAGTGCACTATTTATGGTATCTTCTGATTAGTTAGTCAGGGAACAAGAAAACATTGTTGATCAGTTTACATACCTGTAAGAGTTTACTTGTCATAAAGTTGCAAATGAAATAATATTTTAACCATATAAAAATATTAAAATATTTGCAGATTATACAGCCCATGTTGGAAATTAGAGCCACTGCTTCTAGCAGCAAGGAAGGGTAGTCATTTGACATAGATTTTTTTTTTCTTTTCACAGAAGAGATTATAGATAATTATAGTACATTAACAAATGCAAAAATTGGACAGTCATACTTAAGAAAAAATAGAAACCAAGTTTTCATTTTGGGATAATTGGAATTGTATTGACATGCAGGGATATTAACAGGGTTTTTTCAGGTAATTATAGTGCAAATCTGGGTATTTCTGCTTGTAATGTGCTTAGAAATAAGTAAAAGAAAATCATATGGATAACTTGTTTGTTCTAGTGAGAAGAGATTCAGTCAATAGTGTTTGGCTATACAGCAGAGCTAGATAAATGTTGTAAACGAAAACAACTTTTTTCCCACAAAAAAATATATATGGGTGGATGATTGACATTGAACTAATTTTGTTTTATAAAGGACTTATCAGAAAAATTAGTATGAATATTTGTGTATTAATATTAGTATTTATTATAAAGGTAGTATTTATTATGATATCATGAAGTATTTCATATTCAGTGTTTAAAAAAATGTGTAGCAGTTACTTTTAAAATAGAAACAGCTATTTTCAGGTCACAGTGATATTTTCACTGAATTGACATCATACATTACATTTCAGGTGAGCTCTGTGAGGAGAAACTAGATTTCTGTGCTCAAAACCTGAATCCTTGCCAGCATGACTCAAAGTGTATCTTGACACCCAAAGGATACAAGTAAGTCTAAAATATTTTCACAATTGAGTTGAATCTAAATTTACTGAGTTTTTATCCTGCTTAATTTTACTTACCTTTTGTTTTAGTGGAAGCAAGTTCTATTCTCAAAAATCTAATTTCAGTTATTATCAAGCATTACATCAGAATAGGCCATTATTTTCATGTAGATCTACTTTATTTTCTTAAATATGTTTTACTGAATTTTACTGATCCTTAACATTTCTAATTCTAGTCAGATTTTAAATAGGAAGGCAGGGCAGAGCAGAGCAGTTAGTCTACATGACAGTCTCTACAAAACCCTTTCAGTAGGTCGGACAGTAGGAAAATAATTGCATTTAATTGAAGTGGAAAAATTATACTACTTTCTGGGAAGCAGCTGAGAAAGAGAAGGCACACTGGAAGGTATAAACTAAAGAATTCCATCCCCAGAAAAAATAATCTTTACTTACACCATATCCTTATCATAATTAATTAGTATGCACAGTTTAAAGTGTCTTTAATAGGGTTTAGGTTAATAAATATAGGAAACCTGCAGCTTTCAATTGTCATAAGCAACTGTTTTATGCACACTATGCTCTTGTGCTGAAATCTGATTATTTATTCTCATTCCTACTACATACTAAACAACATTTTATTTAAAATATGGCAAATAATATTCAAATACATTAAATATTCAAATGAACATGGAATTAAGTTGATAGTTTTCAACCAGAAAATGGAAAACTTGTTGGATTTCAATTGTTGTGTGTTGTTTATTGTCTTCTTGCCACTTCAGTAAACCTAGTTTGGCATCTTATACTTTACTGCCTAGTTCATTAATCTTCCATATTACTTTCTGTGATTTTAAATCAGAAAATTAGCACATGCAGTAACTTCAAGAATCTCTCTCTCTTAGTCAGCTTTTTAACAGCATGCTTTATATTCTTTTTTCACTTTTCTTATTTGGATATGTTGTTGAATAAAAATTGAGACATATTTGATTGAAGTACTTAATTGAAAGTTACACAGCTATTTAATATAATTTTTACCACTTTAGAGCAAGTGCTAGAAACTAAAACAACACCAAGGACAGAATCACAAGACCTAATGAAATCAATTACATACATCTTAAAAAAAAAAAAAAATCACGTAGATGCATGGATTTGTAATCTTTTCCATTCATTTTTTCGCAGGGTTCTGGGCATTCACTCAGTCTAATAAATGAAAATTTCCTGAAGAAATGCCACTAGCATTAACAATGAGAGTTGTATAGGGAAAGAAAAAAACCCAAAACTATAAACATTACATACTGTCTTGAGGATATGCTGTTTCTAGTTCAGTGTGGGCTCAGGGAGGGCAGAGGATGTGTTTTGAGACTTCTGCTAGTCTGCTAACCATGGAGATGTTTAGAGTAAATCAGGCTGGTGAAACTTCAAGGGGAAAATAATTATGCATAACCTCTAAACTGTATAAATGGACCACTGGTCCATTTGTAGCTTTTCAGTTGACAAAGAAAATATCCATCAGTGTAATACAAGCCTTGGATTATTTCTCTTGGTTTCAGCAACTAAGCATACTGATTATTTTTAGCGTTTCCAGTCGCTTACAACATCTTGTAACATTCTGCATTACTCATAAATTCCAAGAAGAACTGTCAGAATGATTCATGAGGGCTCTCTAGATTTAAAGCACAACTCTTCAATACAATGGCAGATGAGTATGCATGGGTAACTAGTAACTGTATTCATTACATATGTAGATTCCCCAAATAATATGATTAAGCTACATAGTCTTTACACACAAAGTCACAGTAATGCATTTTTTTTTCTCAAGTTTTAAACAATTCAGTAGTTCCTTAACTTTCCCATAAGCACACTGTATTGTTAAAAGGCACTATGCTATCTTACTCGCTTTCCTGTTTCACAGATGTGATTGCACGCCTGGATATGTAGGTGAACACTGTGATATTGACTTTGATGACTGCCAGGACAACAAATGTAAAAATGGAGCACAGTGTACCGATGCAGTTAATGGATATACATGTATTTGCCCAGAAGGATACAGGTGAGAGAGATCTGAAGACAAGACAAACATGTATGTCTTCTGTCAAAGTTGGTTTTTTTGGAAATACTAATTTTTTCTGTTTGTATTTAGTGGCTTGTTTTGTGAGTTTGCACCACCAATGGTTCTACCTCGCACCAGCCCTTGTGATAATTACGAGTGTCAAAATGGAGCCCAGTGTATCATAAAAGAGAGTGAACCAATCTGTCAATGTTTGTCAGGCTACCAGGGTGAGAAATGTGAAAAGCTGATCAGTATAAACTTTGTCAACAAAGAATCCTATCTACAAATCCCTTCAGCTAAGATACGCCCCCAAACCAATATTACTCTACAGGTAAGATTGCTTGTGTTGTAGATTCTGATCTGGAAAAGACTGTAAATGACTTTTTGTGGTATGGAAAATTAGCCAAAGTTGTCATTGGCTCACTTAAAGAGCTTTTCACAGTTTGAGCTAAAAATCTAGAAGAGTCACTGGAATAACTCTATATTCATATTGAAGTAGATGGGCTTATTGATAGGAAGAGAAAGAATTTTGTCAGGTTGTCCTTCAAGGAAGAATTTTATAGTGAAGTAATAGACTATGGCAGTAAATTCAGAGATTCACTTAATACAGCATTTTGATTTAATATTTATTTTTAGTTTTTTCTAAGTGTTTCTTTCTTTTAACTAGATTGCCACAGATGAAGACAGTGGGATCCTGCTCTACAAAGGCGATAAAGATCATATAGCGGTAGAGCTGTACCGGGGTAGAGTGAGGGTCAGTTATGACACAGGATCTTATCCAGCCTCTGCTATTTACAGGTGAACCCAGATGAAATAGCTTTCTAACTGAAGCAAAACATGTATTAATTCCTTATATCAAAGTCACATTTTTTAATAGATGGCTGAAAGAAATATATGTAAATTAATGTATTGTCAGACATTTAAAACCTATTGCCAACAGACGCGATTTGGCTTGGAAAATAACTCTAATGCAGATACGTCAGAAAGATAATATATTTTTCAATCCATTAAAACTGAGTAACAGTTAGCTTCCAGCAGAATATTTATACATTAGTGTAAAGCTCACACAGAAGTGGAGTTTTTCTCATTATGTTAATGCCAAATAATTTCCTAGTGTGCAGGCTAAAGTGCAGAACTATTCTACATAAGTAGAAATGAAATGGAAGTTTCTCTTATCTTCTGTGGTAAGCGGTCTTATAACATGGGACTTTTCCCTGACAAGCGAAGAGAAAGCTAAAAGCTTGATTCTGAAAAAAGGCACTACCCTTGAAAAAGAAATGGGGTTTGCTTCCAAAGTCATTGAGACAGAATTCACATCTGCTTCTGGATCATAATTTTTCAAATTTTTAAGTCAAATTTCTCTGGTTCTCTGAAAAATAACCATCTGAATTTCTGGTGAGGTTTTATGTAACTTCTCAATAATTTGCAGATAGACATTGCAAGAGAGAGCAAAAAACCAACAGGCATCACTTCTTGGCCTTGACTGCCCTATTGTTGCTACAAATACATTCAGAAGTAAAGGAGAAGTGTTAAATGAGTTTTCCTTGAGTCTTCCTTTTACTGTATTTACACCTTTTGTGTTGTAATATTATATCTGATGTATATTTACTTCTGGAGTTTGTAGCAGCTGACACTGTTCTGCATTCTACTAGGGAAATTTCATTGAAAACAAATGGGTTTTAGAAGTTATTGCACTCAAATGGCAATATAAAATCAAACTCTTAAGTTTATATAGCAGGGACACAGTGTTAAACTTTGTCAGGCAGTAACACCAAAGGAACTGTGGTTTAGTAGATTATTAAATACACTGAACAAAAAAAAACCCCAAAACATTCCTATAAAATACAATATAAAGTTGTTTAGTAAAACACAGTCTTTTAGAATAAGCATCTTAAGGTTGTTTTTATTTTCTGATGCAATATGTGTTTTATAAGGTTTTATACAGTTCCATGAAATGGTTTAACATGTGGAAATGGTATATGTATTTTAATTCTATATATTTTCATATATTAAAAATAAGGTTTGAATTTACAGGAAATTGAAGTATTTCACACAGATTTAAAATTGCATGAAACATTCATTTTTCTGAATGTCTACAATTCAAAATCAGATTTTTCTATTCTATCTGGAATAGTGCTAAAGAGGAAGTTGAGATTGTTTTGTCAGGATTTTAATTATTTTTGTTGATTTTAATTTTGATGTGTACAGCTATCTCAGAATAGGACAAAATAGGGATAAGGATCATATGGAATTTCAAGTTATTTCTGCTTCTATTTGTTTAATCTATCAAGAATACTTCTTCCCATTCAAAACATACATTTCCTTCTCATCAATTTCATGCTTTCTCCAGTATTACTGGGATATAATATATACCAGTAATTCACACTTGTCCATTTTAGTTTTCTAGAAAAAGATTGGAAAACAAGACTCACACAGACAAAATTAAAATCCATAAACATAGAAGAGATTAATAACAAAGTAATCAATTAACAAACAGTCCAAATTAGGTTAGTGTTACAGAACAATTAAAAGCATCTCCCATACATAGTTGATCACCTCTCTTGATTTATGTGACAAGCAGAGAATGCAGGCGCAGTGAAGAAGGGGATGGGAAATGTAGGGAAGTGTTACACAGTGACACAATTGTTTAGTGAAGCAGATACACACTGATATTTTTTTATTATTATTATTATTAACCTCTCTTTCATTTCAGATAGGCCTGATGGTGAGTTTCTAGGAGGTGTATGAAAATTGTCATGTAACGTTATTGAGAACAACTGTAATGAAGTTTTTGGCCTTGAGGGAAGCCCGTATACTGAAAGCATTGCATACATTTCTTGATTTCTATATACGTTTGTGCATCTAGTGATGACTGTACAAATTAGATATTGTTTAATTTCTATTTCAGGTTCTAGAAAGGAATATATTGTAGCACAGGATCTTTTACACTTTATACTCCAATCCCTTCATGCTTTCCAACCTATTCCTATTTTTCTAACTTTTGTTTCCAGCCATCTCTGTTTCCAGTTCTTACTGTTTTTCTTTCCTAGGATCTTTGTGACATTTCCTGCCCTTTTTCAGCTCTTTACCTACTTTTCAGTCAGCCATTGCATGTTGTCCTTCTGTACCTTTGTTACCTATTAAAGCTGTCTCCTGTCATGTTTCCTGCCCTTCTTTCAGCCCATCCCTTTGGTTTCTTTTGTCCCTTCCCTCCCTTCATTTTTTTCTAAGCCAACTAGATCTGATCATCTTTGCTGAAAAACTGCTCACAGACATAACCTACTGATCCAATTTTTTTTTCCTCTATATTATCCTTCTCAGTCGTCTCCTTGACTCAATTTCCAGTCCTGTTTTCCTTACCATCCACTGCCACCCATTACACTGATTCTTGCTTTATCTATTTCTTGCCCAGTTCCTACCTCTTTCTCTTCTTTCTCTGTAGGCCTAATTTTTGCTTCTTCTGAATGGAAACCACACAGTTTCTTTCTCTGTCCATGTAACTTTGTTCTAGCTAAGGCAATACCTTCACTCTGAATGGGTTGACAGGCCCAGATCCAGGCAGTACTACCACAGCTCAAAAGTAGAGTTGGCAGGAAGGTGCTAATCATCTGTGTGTTGGAATAGAACCAGAATGGACAAAGAATTTGAGGATCTAACCTTCCCATTTCTGCAGACTTCCATGTTTTCAAGATTTTAACACCTTGCCTCAGCAAATTTTCAAAAGGATGACAAATGGATAGACATGATGCCAGCCCACTAGTGAATGTCATGACATACAAAGCAGGGTTAATAGAAGCATAAGAGATTGAAGCGTGCTCCCTTCAGTCTGGGAAAATATCTGGTCTATTTAGAAAAATAAAAATCCATTTCAGCCACCATTCAGTATGGAAAATTTTAGAAGAAACAGTTGAAGTTTACCAAAATTATATATAGTTAAAATAATATTGTGAAATAGTGTCATGGGTTAACCACGGTAGGCAGCAAAGCACCACAGAGCTGCTCACTCACCTCCCCTTCCACCTCCAATGGGACAGGAGAAGAGAAATGGAAGAGTTAAAGTCAGAAAAATCATGGGTTGAGATAAAAATACTTTAATAACTAAAGGAA